ACGCCACCAAGGACTGTCATGTCTAGACAATGTCTAGACACCATCGAGCAAATCTGTATGCCCGGGCCGATGGCTCTTTCGATCAAAATAACTCGTCGTTTGCTCTAGGCATCATCGACCGTGAGATCGATAGAAACGATCCAGAGGAGATAGGAGACGTGCTATATTTGGGAGCAAAGCAAGTCATCATTTTTTTGAAACCCTAGAACGAAACCAAACGCGCCAATAGCACAACCACCGTAGCCCGTCTCATTACCACACATTAAAACGTTCAATCCTTTTGCCACATGTGAACCTCTTCCCCCCCGCCCCCCTTCATATGTCGTTGCGAGGCTGCCTCCGTCGGAAAGCTAATATAGTCGCCCACGATTCCGTTGATACTCGGAGCAGACATCTTTGATGTTAACAGGCATATCTACGCTTGGCTGGAGGCAGCCGCTGTGTGGTTGTTCTCTGCCGGCCTGCCGTTGCCATCGCTCTCCTCGGAGTCGTCGTCGCTGGCGGGGTGGCTGTTTGGTACTGTCCTGCGGTTCTTGGTCATCTGCGAAGTGAGGAAAAGCGGTCATGTCAGCTTTTAGAAAACGATAGTCAAGACACGGAGAGGGCAACGGACCCATGATCGCACACCACCGACTAGTCCCAGCGCATAGCCAGTGATGAATTCTTTCGAATTGCCTGTCCCTCCGGGGGCGGTGGGAGACCGCACATTGTCTGCACTGTTGAACCGGGCTGGGCTCTGTGGCCGGCTGGTGGGCCAGAACTGCTTGAGCTCCCGGCTGAGCTCCTGGCCGGTCGTGGTCCAGTTGTTGGTGATGTTCTCGCGGAGGTCCTGCACGTGGCGCTTCAGTTCGATCTCGTTCTTCTTGAGCCAGCTGACGTTGAGCTCCTGGCGAGAGGTGCCGCGCTTGAACTGCCGACTGATGTACTTTTCGTAGTCACGAACGATTCTGTAGGCGAGGCAAGTCAGAGGGGACGGGGTTCGGCAGCAAATTGTAATGACGGACTGTCCAGAGCTGAAGTTGTGGCATCGACTCTGCCACAGCCGGTGGAGAGAACTCACCTCGTGATGATGCCAGTCGTGCTGACACCCTCGGTGCGCTGGGTAACGAGGAACCTGCCAGCTTCCTTGATGGGCTGGTAGATGTCGTCTCCCTCGTCCGCGCCATAGGGAATGTCGTCGTGCGCCACGTAGTCGAGGCGATGCTCGTCGAGGAACTCGGGGGTGACAATCCAAGGGCAGTCTTCAATGACCTCATCCACCCACTTGCAGTGTCGCACCGACTCTGCACGCTCCTTGGCGGACATGACGGTCAGTCCCTTGCGCATGTGGGTTTCCTTGTCGCCGGTGACGCCCACGACGAGGGTCGTGTCGGGGAATGCCTTTTTCGCTTGCTCAAGCTGGCGCATGTGTCTGCCCGATGTCTCGGTTAGCACGCAGTCCACGACCACGGAAGTTTTCACCCCGGATTGTAGAGGCACTCACCCGAGATGGAACAGGTCAAAGACACCGTCCGCATACACCCTCACCGGGCGGCCAACTGGCGGAGGGTTCGTCTTGTAGCCCACGGGGTGCGTGAGCTTGCCAATTGGAGGCGGGGGCATGGTGGCCTTCTTCTCCTCCTCGACGTCCTTGGACGTGCTCTTGCGTCCCTTGCGCCCGACCCTCTCGGCGATGTCGACGCTGGCCTCGGTGGTGTCGCTGGGCTCGCCGGGGTCGAGGACGTTGTCGCCGTTCTCGGGGACTCGGTCGGCACTTGCTCGCTGTCTCTTATTAGGGTTCAAGCTCGTGCCATTGGAGGTCCGTCTGGTCTGGCGTGAGGACTCGGGCGCGGTGGTGTCGCCCTCCTCGCCCGAGGCATCCCGCGACGACGTCTGCAGAGCGCCATCCGGGAGGCTTGTGGTGTCGGCGGCGTTGGCGGCGTTTCTCTTGCGTTTGCCGCCGTGGGAGGAACCCGAGGGTGATGACATGCTGGCGGCGGATGTATGTAATTGACGACGACGACGACGACGACGATAAGCGTCGTTGCTGGTCGGGCCCCGATGCAGCCTGACGTCTGTGTCGCTGCTGGTGCTGCGTCTGGTCTCGGCCTCGTCTGTTCCGCTCCGTCCTGTTCTGTTCTGTTCTGTTGACCAGCAGTTTGCGAGCTCAGTGATGATATTACAGTATGTAATGACCGCTTGAGCTGTGTATGTGGTATCGGCTCGGCTGCCTCTCGTCGACGGCTATCGAAGGACTCGGAGGGAAGCAGAAACAAAGTGCCGGCTTGGCTCTGGAGCTCGCGTGCACAATGTGTGGAGAGAGGCTCCGGGGTTTGACGCTGAAGGTTCTGGATTCTACCGTGCAGGTCCGTTGGGAGCTTGTGATTTTACCCACCTTGTGCGGTCGCCAGCAGAAAGCGAGCCAGAACCAATTTCCCGCGAGCCTGCTAGAGCAAGCTTACCTGCACCCGAAATGACAGGTGGCGTGACCATGCTGAAAAGGGGCCGTATTTTAATGCCTGGATAGGTATACGCCGTATTCGGGTTGCATTTTTATGTTGCTTTTCTCATCTCTGTTATTTCTTTTTTCTTTTCTCTCAGTGTGTTTGTTTGCTAGTATGTGATATATTTTTCTAGATATTGCTGGGGATTGTTTATCATTTTTTACAGGCAGTGTAGTAGTAAGTAATACTACTTCTATACCTACAGTATGCATGTGGCAGTCAATGACACAAAAATTCATCGTTGCGTGGGCCCTTTTTTCCCGCTTCATTGCTCAATTCTTCCTAGCACTAGATCGAGGCCAGTCCTCTAGCTTCATTGCCATGAACATCCATTGAATCTCGGAATAAAAAGCCAGCAAGGCTAGGTACCCGAGCGACTTCATAGCCTGCTTCCCCAATGGCATTCCGCCTGAAGAAACTGAAGCTCGGGGAGACGGACAGGACCAAGAGGAAAGCACGTCGCTTGCCATCTCACCGATCGCGATCCAGCAGGACAAACTGGATGATGCTGCCGCACACAACATTGCGCTCGGTTTTCTTGCCAGCTACCTATTAGCGTCAATGCCTCTCCAACAGCTCCTCCAGTAGCCTGGACTAGCAGTGCCGCCAATTGAGCCTTGTGCCGCCAATAAGGGGTAGCAGATCATTGGCCGCTTCTCACCTGGGCAGTTGAAAACCCGTCGTCGTCTTCGTCCATCAGGCGCGTCATAAGGCTGTGGCAATCAAGCTTATATCGCACAGTAGGGAGGGAGAACCTCGCCAGACAAGCCTGGAAGCCAGAAGCCAACGTTGTTCAGGGTGCGACAGGCGCTGGAAGAAGCCGGGTAACCCTAATTGCTGGCGATCCAATGGAAGCCCAGCCGTTTGCCTGCAATGGGGCAGCAGCGCTACGTCATCTTATGATGGGGACGTCATTTTGTCTTGGAAGGGATGCTTGAAGCTGTGCAAATGCATTCATTCAAAGCCTGCACCTTTGAGTGGCTCGCGCCAAAATTACAGTGCTTGCTTGTTATAGTAGCAGATAACGCCACATATCCCGGCAAATCGAGCGCTTCCCTCCCAGCACATGGCGCAATCCATGACATTGACGCGTGCCCCTTACTAAGCGGTCTGTCCTGAACTCACAGCTGCGAGAGTCCGAATGCCTTCGTTTGCACATGCTTGGACTTTGTACGAGTAAATATGCGGACTCTGCCTTCGTATTACCACTAGCCCGCTCAACAGAACAAACGGAACCTACCTTCTGTGACCCATGGCTGCCGCGGAGACCAGGGTGGAACGCCGTCTTAGACACTGCAGCTGGACTCACATGTCAGGACTCAGGACTTGCTTGCCCCGCATCACGAAGGAGCGCTTTTATTCCTGATCAATGTTGTGCTGTGTGTTTCCCCTGGGCGGCCGCCTGAAGATTCCGGCCTCACGTAAAGCTTCGGTGCGTCTCATTAGCTGCTGCAGTTGATGGTGGCTGCATCCTGTGAGAGATATATTGCGGGCGTGGTGAAACACGGCGTTTTCGTGCTAGTATTCAGTTGTTGAGGACGAATGGGCTGGTATCATTGGCTGGGACAAGTCATGGCCGTCACGGCAGGGACTCTACGCGCAGAGGAGCTGCCCAACTGGGTTTCGTATGCCATAAGTCGAGTGTGCTGCAAGTTGGAAAAGAGGTCGGTCAGTGTTTGTCTTGAAATCGAGGCAAAGGCAGCTGCCAAGGGAAGCATCACGTAACGTTGGACAGCCAGAGCTGAGGGATCTCCGACAGTACGATCCAGTTGTCGACAGGCACTGTGGCTTACAAGATACATGCCCCCAATGACGTCGACATGAACCCAAAGGACGCCTGAACGACGCGCAGACATCCAAGTCAATGTGACGGACAGCTGAGGGATTCATATCACTCTGCCACTGCATCCCATTCGCCGCTGCTTGGTGTCTGGAATGCCCGGCAACCTCACGACGAGCTCCAGCTCCAGCCTCCAGCCACGGCCGCCTAGGGGTCGCGTCTAGGTCCAGGCCTAGCCACAGGCTGCCAGAGTAATACCGACCGAGGCCCGGCCCTTGAGCCGCTTTTTCTCATTATCAGCACCTTTGACTCCATACTTTGACAGCGATTATGAGGACGCAGCGCTGCATGACCGCCTCGCTTCTTTAGAATAGTGGAGGCTGGTTCCGGGGCGGTATCGAATAGCAGACGGGGGGGCCAGTCCGGAGACGCGGGTGCCTTTAAAAGTGTAGACGGACCTGCATCTCTGGCGGTTCTGCATCAATCCGCATCGCCATCTTGCGTCTTTGTGTGTCTGTGTCAAAGTCGATCGAGTCGAGCTGAGTCAACGAGCTCAGGTTCTCAGTTGAGGGTTACCTAGTCGATAGTCGTCGCCTCAGCCGCTGCACAGTGCGCCACCACTGTCCTCCCCCCCCCCAGCGCCTTAGCCGTAGCGCCTGCCTCGGGCCCTCCCTCCCCTACGGGCACAAGTACAAGTACGACAGTTGCCAGCGCTGCTCGAAGCTCTGCCCTCCGCCATGCGTATCCTCCCGAACCGCCTGCTGTCTTCATCACCAGCTTCAGGCGCAAACTCGAAGAACGAGAGTCCAATGCGAGCAAAGAACGATGCGACGGGCTCTGCGGGGGCCCCTGTGAATGGGCTGGCGCTCAGGGTGGCCATTCTGCGGGTATGGTTGCGCTCTTCTGACCTTGATTCTGATCTGCTTTGTTGCTGCGGCTTCGAGCGAGTCGAGCTGGTTACTAAAGACGTGAGGCATATAGGCAAGGAATCTGGCGGCCAAGGATCGCAGTGGAACTTCGGATCCGGTGAGTGGAAGCGGCAGCACCCGTGTTTGCGCTTTGCGAGCTGCCCAGCAGAGAGGGCATTGCCTCGCAATGGCCGCAACTGCTTCATCCCCCTTTTACCGTTTGGAACATAGAAGCTTACAAGCAAACGTCTTTCCTCTAGTACCTCGTCGTAACGCTCGGCGACGCTCGCGTCGTCACCCATTCCGTTCCCAAGACGCTCAACCCCGAGTGGAACGTCATCGAGGAGCTGCCCATAAGCTCCGTACAAAGCCTAGTGGTGGGCGTCATATGCTGGGACAAGGATCGCTTCGGCAAGGATTATCTGGGCGAGTTCGACCTGGCGCTCGAGGAGATCTTCCAGACCGAAACCGCCGAGCAGGAGCCGCGCTGGTATCCCCTGAAGAGCAAGCGCCCCGGCAAGAAGACGAGCATCGTTTCTGGCGAGGTGCAGCTCCAGTTCACGCTGCTCGACACAACAAACCCCTCCATTTCCAACCAGCAGCTATTTGAGAAATTCTACAATCTCATCGGTTCGGTTTCCGTCTCCTCCCGCAACGTCACACCAACGGAGACGCCATTGTTGACCCCGAGCGCGGCACGGTCGGGAACCACCTCGTCGGCCGACGGCCTTGGAGACGACGACGACGACGATGACCTTACCGAGCTTGAGGAAGATATTGGCGATGAGACCGAGGACCCGTCCAAGCCAGAGACGGCCGAGAAGCGCCGGAAGCGACTTCGCATCAAGAGCCTGAAGAAGAAGAGGCGACAGGATCCCTACGCTTTTACCAATGGCGACTCGGACGTTGTCGGCATCATCTACCTCGAGGTCAGCAGGATCACAGATCTTCCGCCCGAGTCCAACCTGACGCGGACTGGCTTCGACATGGATCCCTTCGTCGTGGCATCCCTGGGCAAGAAAACGTACCGCACCAGGCGGGTCCGACACAACCTCAACCCGGTGTTCAATGAGAAGATGATCTTCCCGGTGCAGAACCACGAGCAGCAGTACTCATTTGCCTTTACCGTCATCGACCACGACAAGTACTCTGGCAACGACTTCATCGCTTCCTGCAACCTGCCCGTCCAGACGCTCATAGAAAAGGCGCCCAAGGCGGATCCGGAAACGGGGCTGTACGAGGTCCGCACTCCCGAGCCAGAGCCTGTGCCGGCACCCGCTGTCCCCAAGACTCGTCTCCAGAAGCTGGGCGTGTCCCGCTCCTCGTCTACGCAGAGTCTGAGCAAGTTGATGCGGTCGCAGACGGCCCCTGTCAAGTCTCCTCCGTCAAACGGCTCTTCCACGCTCACGGTGCAGGGCGATGGAAGCGCAATCCAGCCCGGCACCACGCCGTTGGCACCTCTGGATGCTCTCGCTCCCGGCATTGACGCGTCAGAACCGGTCTCGGAGATGGACGACCCCGACCTGGCAGAGTACGCTCTGCCGCTGAAGATGAAGAACCTGGACAAGTGGGAGAGCAAGCACAACCCCGTCATCTATCTCAGAGCCAAGTACGTGCCGTATCCGGCTCTGCGTCAGCAGTTTTGGCGGGCGCTGTTGAAGCAGTACGATACCGACGACAGCGGTCTCATCAGCAGGCTCGAGCTGAGCACCATGCTCGATACCCTTGGCTCCACGCTGAAGGATTCGACAATCGACAGCTTCTTCCAGCGGTTCCCGCACAAGGCCGCCGACAATGAGGACTCGTGGGAGCTCACCTTTGACGAAGCCGTCATGTGCCTTGAAGATCAGCTGCAGGCCAAGAGCCGATCCGGCAGCAAGACGCCTGGCCTTGATGTCAAGAGCCTCAGTCTCTCGGGCAAGTCATCTGGGGACTCTGTCGGACAGCCGGGCTCCGAGGGCTCGGGCAACTCGACGCCCCAGATCACGGTCGATCCGCCACCGGGGGCGACGATTGGTCCCGAGGTCACCACGCCCAACGAGGACGGAGAGGAAGGGTACTTTGACAGGGAGGATACAAAGGAAGAACACGTGGTGGAGATTCGGGAGTGCCCCATCTGCCACCAGCCTCGCCTGAACAAGCGCAGCGACGGCGACATCATCACGCATATTGCGACATGCGCCAGCCAGGACTGGCGCCAGGTCAACACGGTCCTCGTGGGCGGCTTCGTGACGGCGAGCCAGGCGCAAAGGAAATGGTACTCCAAGGTCATTACCAAGATTTCCTACGGCGGATACAAGCTTGGCGCCAACTCGGCCAACATCCTCGTCCAGGACCGTCTCACGGGGCAGATCAACGAGGAGAAGATGAGCGTCTACGTGCGGCTGGGCATCCGGCTGCTCTACAAGGGACTCAAGTCGAGGGACATGGAGAATAAGCGAAGTAAGTGTGCATCGTGCCGGCTCAAATGTATCATTTGCTAACCATGCATGTCAGTCCGGAGAATGCTGAAGAACCTCAGCATCAAGCAGGGCAAGAAGTTTGACGACCCTGCCTCGCGAGACGAGATTGAAAAGTTCATCGATTTCCATCGGCTGGACATGTCCGAAGTCCTGCTGCCGATTGAAGAGTTTAAGAACTTCAACGAGTTCTTCTACCGTGCGCTCAAGCCCGGGGCCCGGCCGTGCTCGGCGCCGGACGACCCTCGCATTATTGTGTCGCCGGCAGATTGTCGATGCGTCGTCTTTAACCAGATCTCGCAGGCGACCAAGATTTGGGTCAAGGGTCGCGATTTCAACATCAAGAGACTCCTCGGGGATGCCTACCCTGATGACGCCCCGCGGTACGAGAACGGCGCCCTGGGCATCTTCCGACTGGCCCCTCAGGACTACCACCGATTCCACATCCCCGTCGACGGTGTTCTAGGCAAGCCCATTACTATCGAGGGCGAGTACTACACGGTCAACCCAATGGCGATTCGCTCAGCGCTGGACGTGTACGGCGAGAACGTGCGAGTGCTCGTGCCCATTGACAGCGAATGCCACGGACGGGTCATGGTCATTTGCGTGGGCGCCATGATGGTGGGCAGCACGGTGATTACGCGCAAGGAGGGCGAGCGCGTGCGTCGGGCCGAGGAGCTGGGCTACTTTGCCTTTGGCGGCAGCACGGTGCTGCTGCTGTTTGAGCCTGGCAAGATGCGCTTTGACGACGACCTGGTGGACAATTCCAACGGAGCTCTCGAGACTTTGGTGAGTTTTGCGCGACATTGATCTTCTCAAGCATGGGTAAGGGAGCAGTTGCTGACGTGACGACGACAGATTCGTGTTGGCATGTCGATTGGACACTCACCGAACACGAGCCAGTGGACTCCAGACATGCGCAAGAATGAGCAGGACATTACGGAAGCCGACAAGCAGGAGGCGAAGCGACGAATCCAGGGCAGCGCAGCGCTGGAGGAGGAATCGCCCGGCGACAGCGGTGATGAGGACCGGGGCAAGAAGCGGTCATCGCTTCCGCCCACGGTCAACACGCTGGCTGCCTCGTCATTGTAGAGGAGGGAGGGACGGCTATGGCTGGTTCAAAGCATGAAGCCAATTGTACACTGGAATTGCGAGCCTTGCTGTGGTTGGATACACTGTGCATTGAGACGATGGTTATGAGATGGCATGTTTAGCAGATTCACGTTTCGCTTTGAAAGCATTTCTTGAGATGAATACAAGACTTATTATTCGATGTAACTCCTTTCCCAAGTACCTAGTAGCCAGTTGAAATAGACGTGCAAGCTAGAAGACGGGGTTGAAATGACGACGGTATCGATGCAATCCACAGACGAAACCAAGAGGATTAAAGGGGATGTCGAGCAACGAGACACAAATCATCCCGCCACCTCTGCATAAAACAACCACTTAAGTCAAAAAAACAAAACAAAAATGAGAAACACAGAACAAGAAAAGACACAAAGAAAAAAGGTATCCCGACTTCAAACCTCTAGCGCACCAGGTGTAAGGTAGCGAAGCAAAAAAAAGTCTCCGTTGATAGAAGAAAGCGAGTCCAAAAGTCCTTGTTCAACAAAAGAATCAATGACCAGACGGCGAAGACGAGAGCGACGACGAGTGCGACGACGCCGTGCTTCCTCTTCGCTCGGGGATCTTTTGCGGGGAGGAGGAGCGGGAGGAGGGGAGAAGTGGTGAGGAGGCTGCTGCTGGTGATGGCGATGTGGTTGAGGGGGTACCGGTTTGTTGTTGTTGTTGTTGTTGGCGGCGGGATTGGTTCCATGATGTGTAGAATTGGCGGCAGAGGTGTGCGGACATTGTGTATGTGGGCGACATTTTTTGGGGATGTCGTGTGATGGTAGGTAGGTAGGTTTTGATGAAGTATTGAGTGGAAGCTGCTGCTGCTGCTTTTGTTCCCTCGTCGGCGTTGAAGGTTGTGAGATGGCCGAGGGTAATGAGGTTTTTCTCTCCTTTTGTTTTGTTGTGTGAGAGAGTTGGTTGTTGGGTTTTGTAGCTTTTTGTTTGTGTATTGATTGGTAATACTTTGGGTGCGCCTCCTATTGTTCCTCTTGGTTGTTTTGGTGTTGACGAGTGTCCCTGTGTAGGCGAGAGAGAGAGAGAGTGGGTGTGTTTTCTAGCTGTTCAGGAGGAAGAAAAAGGGAGATGTCAAGCAGACGATAGGAATTGAAGGAAGAAGATGAAGAAGAAGAAGAAGAAAAGAAGTCAAAGAACTAAAAAGGTAAAAAAAAAAAGAGGGTTACTTTTCTTCTTTTGTTGGAAAACGAAACATCGGATCAGATGAGAGAGCAGATCAGGCAAGGAGGTGGCCGCCGTATTTAATTGTTAATTAATACTGTACACACTCCTCTCTTTTCTTACCTGACCTACTACCTACGGATCCTTTACCTACCTTAGGTACCTACCTTACCTTGCCTCTATTGGCGGCACTGTATGTACTAGGTACGGTATATCGGACAAGGCAACCAGGTACAAGGTAGCAGGACGGAGTACGCCGTTGCCGGTGTCGTGTTTTTGCCTTTGCTTTTCTGGGGAATCATTCGAGTGCCTTTGGGGGGTTTTGAGGGGGGGGGGATGCGTTTGCTGGTCTGCTCCCCCCTTTTTTTCCCTTGATATTTCCAGCACAGCATACTCTTTGATACCTTACTCCTGCCTACATGTACCTCCTTATGTTATCTGTTCGACTTTGGATCGTGAATGGTAGTAATAGTACTTTGGACAGGTGCATGATACAGCGAGGGCACCATCGCCACACTTCCCTTTACAGTTGACACCCTCCATAAAGCAACTCCGATTCCAGCTGCCCCCCCGCCCCTTCCCGAAAAGAGAATCCAGGATTCGGAGCAAAAATAAGGCACACGACCACCAGGGAAGAAAGAAAAAAAAAAAAGGCCCAAAACATCACATCATGCTTGCGTGCGAAATCGTTCCACCTCTTGGAGCCCGGTTGACACTAATCAGGCTAAGCTCAGTACAACTACCTATCTCAGTGTACCGTACTTCTTCTTACAGGGCGGAATTGTACAATGCTACCGGATTAAGAATAACGGCTCTTCTTTTATCTCGGGCTGAGAGAGCAATCATACGAGCATGTACAGCTGTTGAGCAAGAACCTGGATACTTACTGTAAACAACTTGATTTGCTCTGTTCTTGATTCTTTGGCTTTTGTTGCCGCATGTTATGTAATAGGGAGTCAAGTCAGTTGATACTCTCTGTTCGTCTAAAGAATCGGTGTGGCCTGGCCTGGCTCTTCGTACTCGTACGCGTATGATGTACCTTACCTTGGAAAAAGGGGGCTGAACGGAATAATACTGGAACCTTGATGAATCTCACTTGTTGCGATCACCGTGATTGACAGACAATCCCATCCACAAGGTACCTCAATCAACTCACGTCAAGTCGCCAGGTAAAAGCGAATGCGGAGATGCAGAATCTCCAACATATAAAATACTAGGACCTACAGAATAAAAGTGACTCAGCCAACCACATTAAAAAGTACAGGTGCGAAAGAAATAAAGTAGAGAAAAAGCACAATCCTCCCCCCAAATGATGCAAAGCCGCCCATCGTCCAATCACCATCCATCTATTTCCGCTGACCTCCTAATTTTTCTTTTTCTTTCTTTCTTTTTAATTTTTTTTATTATTATTATTTATTTCTTTTCTTCTTTGAATATCGTGCTCCTGGCCTCTATGCTCTTCAGCCCCCCTCCTCGAATCAAACGAACAGTCTTGAGCAGTAGGGATGATTCCAAGTACGTACGATACGTAGCTAGCTGTGGGTAAATGCGTCGACCCTCTTTGGTGTTATTTGGCCTTACCCTATTAACAAGAACACGTTCTGCCCGTCATACCTATTGTCAATCACCTGGAATCATCCTGGAATTACTTTACGACATCAAAGTAAACTGATGGCTCCAAAGCCATCTATCAAAGACATATAGACAGCACACCCCGCTTCTTTTAATCAAAATTACATACATAGTCACCTCGTTTGAATTCTCTGCTGCCAGTCTTACTCGACACAAAGCAGATGCCCCAAGCATCTATGTCCTTGTAGAAGCCGGCAACTGAAGCAATTACTATAATAGAACATCATACATACTGCAGGTGGTATTCGAATCAAATATTTTCATCTCCAGGTTATACATCAGAGGAAGGCCGACTTTTTCATAAAACGAGAGAACGAATCCGCCTCGATAAACGAGCAAATGCTATACACGATAAGGGGATGTCGAGAGAAAAAAGCTCTCGTCCCGTAAGATTCCGCACGCCAAAACCCAGTGATGCCCAATAACGATAATCCACTGAACCCTCTCGCGGGGGATGAAAACGAGCACCGTTGCCATGCTATTCGTCGCTTGTGATGATATCCAAAATCCCAAAAATCCTCCATGGGGGAAAAAGAAACAAAAAACGATGGTATAAACAAAATTTGGGGATCAAGTAAAGCACCAGAATAAGGGGGTAGTCGCGAACAGAAACACAAATCATGCGCTGCCCGTCAACTAATCGGCAATGGCGCTCTCGTCTGCCTGGGCCTGTCGCAGTCTTTCCTCGTTCTTCTCCGCAGCCGGCAAGTTGATGTTGGCTCGTGCCTTGCGCTGCGCTTCGACGAAGCGCTCCCAATACTCGGGATCGCTCTCTTTCAAGGCTGCAAAGAGAATATCCCTATTCTCCTTGAAAGCCTGGACGGCACCCTTCTTCTTGGCCAGTTCCAGGAACTCCCCGCCAACCTCTTCGGCAATCTCGTTAAGCACATGCGCGTGCTTTGGGTCCTTTTCCACGTCGTCAATGGTCGTGAGGAGGTCCATGTGCTCCGTAAAGGCAGATCGGAATCGGTGACCGGCACGGTGTACCCGTCCTTCTTCCTCGGCGAGCTGCTTGCCCAGGATCGAGTTGTTCCGTGACAGCGTGGGCCGCACGCTGAGCTCGCCCTCGTCTTCGGGGTCTGATCCGCCTGCCGCGGCGTCGTCCAGGGGGGGTGGAGATGACGAGAGCACCTCCGCCTCCGGCTGGGATGACACCTGGCTTTCTTCCGCGTGCTCGCGAGTGTCGGGATACTCGTCCTCGAAGCGCTTGATGATGCCCTGCAGCGTCTCGTCCAGGAAGTTGAGCTTGCGCAGGTTCAGCTCGTCGCTCGGATTCGCTCTCGCCTTGCTCAGTGCCGGCTGGAGACGCTGTCGGATCTTGCGAGCACCGGCCAGCAAGTGCTTCGACAGGTCCTTGGCCTTGCCGCTCGTCGTCGGGATCTTGGGGCCGACAAGATGCTCTTCCTCGACGCCGCCTGCCCGGAAAAACTCGCCAGAAGCCCGGCGAGATTCGTCGCCGCGGTTCTTGAGGCAGCACGCAAGCGCCTTGACAACGCCGGTACCACCAATGACGTAGTCCTCGTCCGGCCCGGAGCCGTCCTCCTCCAGCTCGTCCTCCTCTAGGACGTCGTGGCCAACGAGATGCGCCAGCACATCGGGATACGTCGGGGTCTTGCTATCCAGAGACTCTCCCTTGGCCTCGGCTAGCGCTGTGGCCACCGCCTCGTTGATCTCGACATCGTGGAGGTGCTCAATGTTCTGCAGGCAGTAGGCCACAACCTGCTTTGCCATTGCCTTGACGATCTCGCCAGCCTCCTCGCTGGGGACCTCAATGTCCACGCAAATCAAGCTCTTGGACAGCCTAGTGGCAGCCATCAGCGACGCATACAAGGCGCAGGCTTCTTCTTGCGCTTCCTCCGTCTTGGCGCTCGCAAGGGCCACAATCTCCGTGTTCCCCAGCAGACTCAGGTGGCAGAGATGGCGGGCTTCCGGCACGACTTCGACAATGGCAATCGCTTGCTCAGCCGTCATGTTGACATCCGCCAGATGCAGCCGCTTGAGGCATTGCATTTTGGGAATATATCTGTGTGAAGTGTCAGTTTCCTCTCTTCCTGTATAATCACTACACATCCCCCCCCAACATACCTTCTGAGAAGACCAACAGCACTCGGCGTGGATTGGAAGAGATCATGATTGTGGGAAAGGTCGATGAAGACGAAATTCTTCAGCTTGGCCAAAACGGGCAGAATGTTGCGCAGAGACGAGGGCGTCAGGTTGCAGTCGGAGATGCTCAGCGCCCAAAGCGGATCCGTCTCCTTGATGGACGCCGCAATGGTGTCCATGTGCTCCCTGAGATCGATGCCGCCCAGGTCCAGGCCTTCGCACTTTCCAGACTCCAGATACCTCACAACGTGCTGGACGCCGTCGCTGTCGAGGGGATTCCGGGCAGTGCTGAGTCGCTTCACGCCGCACTTGATCACTCCGTCGATGATCTTGCCCAGCTGCTCCATGCTGGGCTCCGTCTCGCCGACGCTGAGCATTTCGAGCGCGGGCCCGGCTGGGCGATCTGAGAGTGCCTTGGAAAAGATGTCGGCAATGGTGAGCGGGATGTGGACGCCGTTCTGAAGCGTGCCGTTGGGGTTGGCGGGAGCTTGGCGGGGGAAGGGGATGCTCGAGAGATCCAGGTACTTGAGCGACCGGCACTTGTAGATGAAGAGCGAAATGTGCTTCCAGCCGTCTGGCCCCAGCTTGTTTTCCTTCAGCACGACCCTCTCCACGACTCCGCTCGTATGCTCATGATGGGCATTGGAATTCCTCCTCCGCCTCCCCGGCTCTGTGTGCTTGGCTGCCAGGAGACCAGCTAGAATGACTCTGACGCCTTCGTCAGTGAGCCCGCTGTTTTGCAGAATGACTTCCTTCACGGACACGACGGCAAGATAGTCGCCCAGGGTGATGAGATCTTGCAGCTGCATGAAGTAGCCGGTCAAGTCAATCTTGTTCACGCACCCATTGGGGAGAATGTTGGCCGTGTCGCTCAGCTGCTCGGTAATCTTCTTGAGAATGGGGGTCTCGCGAAGCTGGCAGCATCTTCGGTAGATTCTGACCGGGTTGATTGTGGGCGAGTTCGTCTTGGAGGGGGGACCGTGCAGCTCGGCAGAGTCGCTGCTGTCATAGTGAATCTCTATGGGAATCGCTCCGCTCTCTTCGGCGAGCCGCCGCCTCTTCTCTTTCCTGGCCTTGCGCTCCTCTTCACTTCTCTTCTTCTTCTCCTTCTTTCTCGTCATGTCCTTTGGAGCGGCTTTGGTTTCTTCCGGGCTGTCCGCCGTCTTTGTGCCATTCTGTGTCGGTGCGGCTTGCTTGGTCTCGGTTTCGCGTGGTTTCGCTTCAGCGGCGCCGGGGCTGACACTCTCAGTCGAAGATGAGCAAGCCTCCTTTTGGGCTTCGGCAACCTTGGGGTGTTTCAAAGCCTCGCCCTCGCCCTTCTCGCTCAGTTTCTTCTTCTGGGTGTGGTCGATGGAATCGGTGTCTGCCTCTGTTTCTGCGTACTTTGGCATGGGCGCAACCTCGACGTCGACGAAGAAGGACACCCGCCTCAGCTTGTTGTCCTTGAGCTCTGCAATCGGGCATCTTTCTCGATCCCGGTCCACGTTCAATATCCGGCGCTCAACCAGACCGTGATTGAATTTGCCGGCAGCGCCAAGAGCACCACTGCTTCCACCGCCTGAGGAAGAAAGGCGCCGAAAGACGCCGAGCAGTCCAGGCTGGCCCGATCTCGGCGGGGCCGGCGTGTATGGCTCGTCGCCCTCCGGTTTTAACCCATGCTGGAGGACGGCGTTCTTGGTCGGCGTAATTTTGGGCACAACGGGTTCTGCGTTTGTTGGGGCCGCCGGCTGGTGCTGTTGTGAAGGCGCATGCTGCTGATTGCCCGTCTGCTGCGTCTGGCCGTTCGCCTGGGGGACTGAGCCTGAGAACTTGGCCGAGATGTTGGAGAACCACGAGTTGCGACGGTGAGGCGGCGTCACGCTGCTGCTGGTCTGCTTGTCGACGGAGCCCGCCCTCAGACGCCGGGCGCCGCTCGAGCCATTGACTGGAATCGGCTGCGTTTGGCTGACCGGCTTGCCGTTGGCCTCGCTCTTGACGTCGGGCCTTTCAGCAGTCGTCTGCGGGCTCAGCTTGAGGGGAGAATCGTTGGGTACGCTTCGCGGCTGTACTGTGGCCACGGGAGACGACTTGATGGGCGTGAAGGGTGCCTTGTTGAACTTGTCTAATCGCATTGTCAGCATTCAGATCCAGCAAAGTCAATGCGCCAGCACACAGCCGCCACAGCGCCGACATGGCTCGCAAAAGGCCATGGTCAATCGAGCGCTTGTGTTGGACGGAGCGGGAGGAGCAGCGGGTAGCAGAAAAGCAGCAAAAGCGGCATGCCTTTTGGCGAGCCCTGCGTCATCCAACTGACGTCGACGCCATGGACCTGTTCCATGATGGAGGGAGTTTCGCGACCGCTCGCGCGCGCAGCTGGAAGGAGACAAACGGAGGCGTCGAGCGTTGACTGGCTTCTGCTGCGGATGTTGGAGAAGAGATGGAGGAGAAGTGCAAGGAAAGGGCAAAATGGCCGAATGAGCGAAAGGAGGGCTTTGTGGTTGATTACATACTGTACTTGTACCGGCTTCCGCCCGCCTTTGACTGGCTCCAGCTGCGAGCGATCGAGGCAATAGGCTGGGGTAAGGCGAAAAACACGGGGAGGGGCGCTGGAGCCACTGGAGCCACTGGAGCCACTGAAGAGGCCTGAAGGGAGACGCCTGACAAGCCACTAGCGGGGTAGATCAAGGCCGCTGTGCTCGACTAGGGCAAGGTATCCTTCAGGTGGTCTCTGTCGGGCTACATGTATCTTGAATGTGCAGTAGGTACCTCTAATACCTTACCTAGCCCAGCCCTTTTCTTGTTGTTCGGGTACATAAGAGGGGGGGTAAGGTAAGCTGCTCTCTGTCGATTACTACCTAGTACTTACTACTAGTAGTACTACTACAACTATAATGTCTTGCCTTGCCTTGCCTTGCCTTGCCTTACTCTGCCTCTCCCGCCTCTCGCCCGAGTGCCGCCAGATCAAGAGTGTCTAAGGCATATCAAACCTTGAACCTAAAAGTAAAGCCGTGCCTGTACTTGCGGCGTCCGACTGCTCCTCATCGAAATACATTCCCGTACCAGTACCTACGTCAGGACGGATTCTTCCGTAGTATTTACTCGAGGTGTTCCGCGATGCCCGCGTGGGACCTCGTCAAGTCCGGCCAAGGTTCCGTGTACGAGTAGGTACTCTTTTCAATCACACGAGCCCCCTTGCGAGGCCATAGGTAGTGAGTGCTTTTCCCTGTAGCCCGTTCCCAATTGGTCGCCTGCTTTTGGTGTATGGCGAGGGTTCATTGTGGTATTTTGCCACAGGGCATGCCATCGCATTGCACGAGGACTCGACTTGCTCAGCAAAACAGGGAACACAAAGATCACTCAGGCTGAGGCGAACTCCGCAAGTTCCTTACCTACAAATTACCGGATTATCTATCTACAGTACATATTAGGGCACCGCTGAATGCATGTTTTTACCTAGATAGGTGAGGTATTACCTGGCTTACTGTATCAATCGCAAGCCACACCCACAACAAACCACCCAGCATCTCGAACTTTGACAGCGCACAAAAGCCAAAATCTTCATCCCTCCCGCGGCAGATATCGAATCCTCTCGACTTGAGGACCCGGTTTCTAAGCACTTGCCGCCTTAGCTTGCGCGCCTGGCTGCTGACAGGTCCCTGAGTTTCTTTTGGTCCTTTGGGGGGCTCTCGCGGTCCCGATTCCGGATACTAGTAGTACGAGTAGTAGTAGCATCACACACGTATCCAGTCCAATGGGTCGCTCCACCAGTCTTTTGTTTGACTGCTCCATACGATCAAAACTGAGGGAAATGCTGCTCCCTCCGTAATAATGAGTGCTAGCCTTTTGTGGGAACAAACGGTCCGTATGTGTTCAGCTGCAGTACCAAGCTACCCTAGGTAAAAACTGTAGGACATACCGACGAGCCTTTTTTTTTTTTTTTTGGTTCCCTTGCCTTGCTCTGCTTCAAGTTCCGGGCCAGCCGAGCGATCTTCGCAACGGCGCCACAGCGTTCTGTAAAATTCAGATTGCTTCTCAAAGCACATTACACGTATCTGCGACCCCGTTCTCCTGAGCTCAGAGGCGGCAACACCTGAAATTAATGGCTCAATCAGCGCCCCCGTCAGCTTTTGCAAAGCTGAATGGGAAGTGGCTTGTCCCGGCTAACGACTCCGAATCATAACAGACTGTCAATTATTACATGTAGTCTTATGTATCTGGGCGCATCTCAGCCCCTGACGCACATTAGCCTCAAAAAGTCATGAGAGCAGCTCTGCCAGTAATACATGATACTACTAGTATGGATTATTACTGACGGGATGTCGCCGCACTTGGGCACGTGAGCTTGAGATATGCATCTCTTAAAAGTAAGGGACCGAAGCAGCCAGAAGGAGATCGCCCTCTTGTCCTCCCCCCTTGTTGACGTATCGGATCCAAGTCTACGTCATTCTGGGCGCCTGCTGCGTGACCCTGCCAAGGTTTCCCAACGCATGAGTTCTCTAAGAAGCCATACAGAATCCCTTGCTTTGCACGCCTCCCGAAGAACATGTAAGGGCAGCAAGGGCATTGAATTACCCAGGCTGTACCTATACGTGTACAAGGACATGGCAAATGCGGCTGAGTTGGATGTTCAGTATCAGCATGTATCACTCCTTACCCCGGAGCCAGCGAAGTCCCTGGAACATGCAAATATGACGGACATTCGAACCCTGGAGGACATCATCCCCCCCCATGGTGTCCGTACAGTATTACTGTACAAGTACCTCCTGCAAGCGGAACTCCCCGTTCCGCGCCCTGACAACAACTCGCCCAATTGGCATGAAATGAGGGTTCCAGCCACAGGCAGTTCCGTGATAATGACGGCTGCCAAGTGAATCCCAACCCCTGGCTACTTTACCTAGGTGCTGCGGAATCCTCCTTATTGTGTGTTCCATGGTCCGCGGATATTGAAATTTGAAGAAGCAGTGCGAAACCTGGAAGCAAACTTGCCGATTCCGTTAATATTCCTGTCTTGGTTTGCATGATGGTTGGCATCGGAGTTTCCTTGACCAAGACCTCTCCCAAAAGAGCATGAATTATTCGCATTTCCCCTGGCCCCCCCTTTCTGTCGTGAGGGTCGGTGGTTTTTGTCTACGAGCTCCGATCCCGATAACGTTCAGCATGCTATCACCTATTCTGGGGCATTTCATTTGCTCGGGTGGGTGTTGCTTCAATATTACCAACAGTCCATGGAATTGCATTTTAGGCTGATGTAACCCAGCCGGAGGCAGCTCAACACCGGCGATTCCATCATCTTCGCCGACATGTCCGAAGGACTTGAGGGTTGCTTGTCGTGCACAGTCACATGATGGTTTGGCTCCAGATAGAAAGCTTGGGGGCTTGGTCGCTCTGGTGAAGATAGGAAGCAAAGGTTCAGTGGCTGTGGTGCGAGACACGCTGGCATTGAAAGGCCATTCAGCTTGCGAATCATGATCAAGAGCCTACCTGGATACTAATGGAAATACAGCCTGCGGCAACATGGCAACTCATGGACAATTAAAATTGATAGTTCAACTTAACAGTGCTGACCTTGCATTTCAATGAAACGTGTAAGCCTTGACAAGTGTTTCCGTTCGTGGGAAGAAGGGGAGGTGAGGGCCTTTAGGGTAGGGTAGGGCAGCCTACGATGAGGAAGCGCATGACGAACACAGGGCACTACGAACCAACATTAAGTGCATTGCTTGTTGAAGCGACAGCATCAATGTTGAGTGTATGTTTGGACTTGATCCCGATGTCAGAACAGAAAGATAACGATGAATGCGCGCCTACAGAGGACTCTCAATGTGCGACCAGGCACGAAGCCTCATAGCGATGGAATGTAAAAGTTTGGCTGTTAACAAACCGTGCAATGGCTTCTTACCTGCACTCAACGAGCGAGCGCAGCTATTCATCACGTTGACGAACATTGAAGAAAGAAATTCACTTGGTATACGCTGGAAAAAGTAATGGACGAAAAAAAGGATCTATAGATCCGGAGTGGAAGGTATCTTTTCATTCATTGAAGACCATGAGGACCGACCCTTTCATTCCTGTAACTCCAGACCCAATGTATTCGAGAACCAAAATGTGCAACCCTGCTCAAGAGCACCCCGATTTTTTTTCTTACTCATCAGCCAGGATCTTCTGGATCTTGGCCTGGACGTTGGCAGCCTTCTCGGCCTTGGAAAGTCTGGCAGTCTTGTACTTCTTGGAGATGGCCTTCCACTCCTCCTTGGTCTTCTTCTCGCCCTCACCCTCAACCTTCTTGAAGGGGTCCTCGCGGATGGCCTTGTGGGCCTCGGTGTAGAGGTCCTCGAGGCCGTCGGCCTCAACATCGTCCTCGATGTACTTGGCGAACTGGCTGGTGTAGCGCTCCTCATCGTCGTCGGCCAGAGTCTCCATGTACTCGGCGACGTGGCCGCCGTAGATGTACTTGCGGAGGGTCTCGGCGTCCAGCTCCTTGCTCTCAATGTCGTAGCCGGGGAATCGCTTCTCGGAGTGGGGGACGAGGATGCCGCCGTCGGAGGCGCCCTTGAGGGCACCAAAGACACGGGCACCGGTGGAGGTGCGGGCAAGACCGACGTCAAGGAAGGCCTTGAAGGGGCGGCGCTCGCCGTTCTCGGTCTCGGCGGCCTCGGTGAGGGTGAACTCACCGTCGGCCTCCTCGACACCGACAAAGTCCTTGTCGAGGCCGAGCTTGCTGAGGACACGGCGGGCGATCAGGAGACCGGTGGCGTAGGCGGCGGACCAGTTGGTCAGGCCGTGGTTGATGCCGTAGGCCCTCAGCTCGTGGGAGTAGGCGGCGACCAGGACCTTGTCACCAGAGATCTCGGAGCTGACGATCTGCATGATGATGTCCTTGTTGGTGAAGCGGACGACCAGGCGGTACTTGGGAGCATTGTACTTGTTCTTGGCCTGGGTGATGAGGCGCTTGCGGGCGTAGTAGTCGGTCTTTCCCTCACGTCTGCGCTTGTACTTGGTCTGGTAGCGGCTGTGAAGGCTCTGTTAGCCATGATTCCATATTCCTCCCCGTGGAGAAGCCATGTCTCGAATTTTCCTCCATTCTAACGCAGAAGACAACCAAGGGAAAGAAACAATTCAAAAAAAAAAAAAAAAAAAACTCACCTGTAGTACGCGCTGTTCTTGGCGAGCTTTTGGAAAGGCTGTTTGACAGAAAAATCCCCGAGTCAGCAATTTGCGCTTCAGAATGCTCGTCTTCCTTCCGAAGCAACTTGCGACGACTCTCAATCACGAGCAATTGAGCGGCATTTCTGCCACAGTTTTGTTGAAACCCCTCCTCATGTTACTGAGCAGAGGTTTCACGATAGGCCTCAACTTACCATCTTGACGGTGTTGGCCTGGCGATGGCTGGCTTTTGGTCCTCAAACTTTGGGTGGAAAATTCGAAGATGAGGATAGAGAAGGGCGAGATTCCCGGTGGGCTATTTTGTGAAGCCCTAAAATTTCGTGCGCCGTCCGCTTCGCCTAGTTCCCACACCGCGGTCAGCCGGGTTGGGGACGAATCACATGACCACGACCCCTGGACGGTTGTTGGAGGCTGAACTTAGTAAGCAGGCAGGCGATGCCAGAAAATTAGTACCTACATGTATGGGGTAATGACGGGCCAAGCCATTTGCGGTCTTATCTTATCGTCCGTCATGGCGCGTGGACCGCGAGCCGAGGTACGTACGGCAACCTGCTTCAAGCTGGGGATTGGTGAGAGCCGTCTTGACTCGATGATTGAGTGAACGAGCGAATCTGCCCTTCTTTTTCTTTTCTATTCACTGCATGGAACCTGAAATTTGCTCTGTTGAGCTCATTCTGGAAGCAATCGATGCCGAAATGGAAGGTTCACAGCCAAAGGTTCTGCTGTTCGACATTGGCGGTGTTTGTGTAAGTTGACGACGTGCATCACTCAGGATAAAGTGAGCCCTTCATGGTGTTTCTTCTCTCTGACTGACCATTATAGGTCAAATCACCCTTCCAAATCATCCTAGACTATGAACTCTCCCTAGGAATCCCGCCCGGCTGGATAAACTACTCCATCTCCAAGTCCGGTCCCACAGGCTTCTGGCAGCGCATCGAACGAGGCGAGATCCCCATGGACGACGCCTTCTTCGAGGGCTTCACGCGAGACCTCCACGTGCAGCAGCTCTGGGAGGACTTTTACACGGCGCAGCAGGCAAAGGACCCGCGCCTGGCCAGGGACAAGATTCCTCCGCTTCCGCGCATCGACGGCAAGTGGCTCTTCAACGAGATGATGGCCGGCGCGGACGCGCCCGACCCCTGGATGTATCCGGCCCTGCAGAAGCTCCGGGCCAGCGGCAGGTATATCCTGGCCGCGCTGAGCAACACGGTCATCTTCCCGCGGGGCCACAAGCTGCACAGGGACGACTTCTTCGACGAGCCCGTTCGGCAGATCTTTGATCTCTTCATATCGTCGGCGCACGTTGGCATACGCAAGCCCGATCCCGAAATCTACCGGCTCGCTCTGGAGAAGCTCAACGCTTTTGCCAAGGAGAATGCGCATGATCCACGGCATCGGGGCAAAGGCTGGGAGAAGGGCATCGCGCCAAAGGACATTGTTTTCCTGGACGACATTGGCGAGAACCTCAAGGAGGCGCGCAGACAGGGATTCAACACGATCAAGGTGCATCTGGGGAGGACGTACGAGGCGGTTGAGGAGCTGGAGAAGATTACGGGGCTGTCGCTCGAGGGCCCGCATCCAAAGATACCCATCAAACCGAATTATGGAAAGCCGCGGGCCAAAATATGATGATGATGTCGTTAAGTGTACCATTAGCGATGGCAGCGAGATGTATAGAAGAGCGAAACTGATTTTGCACGTTTGAACCATGTGCACACATGACTGCGGGTTTGTCTTTTTTTCGATGCCTTGTTGCCTCTGAGCTATTAGACTCGAAGCGATGCCTTGGCCATGCTGGGATCTTCAATTGCTATCCCTCAGCCCCTGAATCCCCTACATTGTCAACAGTTCCAAGCCGAATTCTCGTACAATATCATGTTCAATGGCAATGGTGACGAAGGGGAAATGATGCATGTACTCTTGCCGCAACAGACCTAGGATTGCGTCTGCGTGTGGCCATGGGAAGTTGAAAGCAGCGCATGATTGCGGTTTTGGGGTAGCTTTGAGCGGATGATGAGATTCGGCGCTGTTGAGACTTGGATCTGGATTCGCAAGGTGAAAGCGCTGCGAGTTGGAGACGTCTTTCAGGGCATCACAACTCTCATCGCAAATGAAGCCCGAGACTCACCCTTTGCTTTTTGCATAACCCATGGGAAGTTACCTCTAGGTCATCCGTAATGAATAATCCCTTTTCTATTCCGCTCACGGGCCAGTCTCTCATCCATTTGACACTCGGCAATCGGCCTTCTATAGTCACTTGCGCCGCTCGTTAACTGTATCTCTTTCCAAGAGATCCAAACGGAAGCTTCAATTCTCTAGAATACTTTATATTACACGTCTGTGTCATGCACACGGCCATGTCCATCTATAGCCACATCCCTTTCCAATGCCCATTCGGATAACTTCATCAATTTCATCACGCATCAGTCCAGTGTATCTGGCGTTTCCTCCTGTATCTTCACTCGGCTCGGAGGACTCTGCTGGGCACCCTCAGAGCCCGACAATTCTTCTCCTTCATTGACCTCTTCTATTGCCGTCCAGCTGCCGTCCGCAAGCACCTCAATCTTCTTGACGCCCGTGTTGCCGCTAGCCAAGAGCTCCTTTGCTACATCGGCGAAGAAATCATCTACCTGGAGGTTGCAGGGCCGCGCATCCATCCCACATATAGGGCAGGCCCAGCAGTCTACCATAGTTGGCTCGCCTAGACCTTGCGGTGGCTTGCTTGGGCGAGAAAGCAGCCAGGTTCCTAAGTCGAAACACTCGAGATGCAGGCATTTGCGGCCTCGCACGGGCATTTTGTTTAGCGTGGAACTGTATAAGTCTGTGACCGAGACCGCTATGGCGTCGCTTTCAATGATGATCTCATCTGTGTCCAATCCTTTGAGTCGCCTGCAGATCTCCTTCTTGGCCACTTCTACCGTGACATGGGGCCCAGACGTCACCATGTCCCAGACGGTATCGTGATCCAGCGTGACGATGCGCTCGACAGCCATGAAGTAGGCAATGTCCTGTATGAGGTTTCCAGGGAATAGTGGCAGGCTGACCTTGATCTTATTCTTTCCCCTGGACAACGAGTCGGTGAGTTCGAGCGGCAAGTCATGATGAAAATGCTGCTTGCGGCGGACATGAAGGATCTTCTCATTGACGGAGACAAAGATATGCGGCGGCCAGTAAGTCGCGCGTCGACTCCATGAAGCTATATCAAGAGCCGCAAGTCCCTCATTCTTGCGCGTGAAGCACATGCGGAGGCGGTATCGAAGAGAGTGGTTGAAGTGCCGGCTCACAGGCAACTGGGTCATGTATAAATCATCAAGGGGCGAGGCAGGTGGTCGGCTAGTTATGGAGAGACGGTCTGTCTCTTCTTGGGTCACATCAAACTCGAAGACAGCGACCCCCATCTGCGGAGGAACCTCGCTTGGTTCCACAGCAAACCTCGAGACGAACTGATAGTAACGAGTCAGACGCTTTTGCGCGCCTTGTCCTGGACCAGAAGAGATTCTTCGAGGGCTACGCAAACCCGTCAAGTGAAGGCTTGCTTCTAGCGATGTAATATGATGCGGGCTGCAGGGATGTTCATACGGGGGAAGGGGGTAAGTTGTGAAATGCGGAATTGACCGGCTGCTTGTTGGACCGGGATGTGATGGGAGAGCTAGATGGGGATCTCGAGTATGCGGTTGCGCTTGCACATAGTGCAGGCCGGGATCCTGCAGCACTTGGACTGGCATGCCCGAGCGGCGGTAAGGCTGACGGACCATCGTAAGCTGAGGGCTTGAATGCACATGACCCTGTCCTTGACGGCCTTGGGGTCCTCCAGAACTTTGAAGGGCCTGGGAAACCTGACTAGTCTGCAGCGTCGGCGTCGGCGGCGTGTTCTGATGATGTGGGTAAGATAGGAGCGGAGGCGGCCCGTTGGACAGCATAGGCGATGGCTGGTGATGCTGCCTGCTATCGCCCTGCACACCGTGTTGTTGAGTTTGTCCTGATGGGGGTAGCGAATGATTCTGCTGCAGCGGCGTGAAAGCCGGGTTTTGCATTGCATGGGGGTTTGGGCCACGGAGGTGACTCTCATTGCCGTGAGTGCCATGATTTTGCTGCTGCTGAGTTTGCTGTTGGTGTTGAGTAGGATGCTGCTGGTGTTGAGTAGGATGCTGCTGGTGTTGAGTAGGATGCTGCTGGTGTTGAGTAGGATGCTGCTGGTGTTGAGTAGGATGCTGCTGGGCGTTTCGCAGTTGCTGCTGCTGAGCATTGCGAACGTACTGAAGATACTGAAGATGCTGCGGATGTTGGGGATTCATAAACTGCTGGTGACTCTGAGATTGCCGAAGGTATTGTAACTGCATGTGCTGGGGAAGCTGAGGTTGCCGAGAGTGCTGCGAATACTGAGGATGCTGCGGATACTGAGGGTATTGAACGCGCTGGGGATATGGGGGTCGTTGCTGATTCTGATGATGTATTTGTGGATGTTGAGCATCTTGGGGAAGCTGGGGCGAAGGATACCGCTGAAGGAGAGACGCTGGAGAAGAGTACTGGGGGCGACTTGGCTCTTGTGGCTGTGGGGGAGGAGAAGGATGTTGGGTGCGAGGAGTATATGGACGGGGAGGGGGCGGAAGAGAAGGGGGCGGAAGAGGAGGGGAAGGATGAGTAGAAACAAGAGGACGCGGTGGAAGAGAAGGGTGCTGGGGATACAAAGGAGGAGGAGACTGCTGCGGCTGGGGAGGAGAAGGCAGAGATGGAGAAGGATGAGAGGTATCATGACTCTGGTGCTGCCTCGGCCGTCGTTCTGCAGGTGGCAGTGATTCGCCTCGTGGCAATATCATTGGAGGCAGGAAGTTCTCTTGGTCCAAGGCCGGGGGCCCCGGTGGCCCTGGAACCCTCGTAGCCTGCAAATTTCGTGGGAAGTCAGGGGAGCCTGTTGGGTCCTGTAGGCCACACGGCCGCAGTCGACCTTCGGAACTCGCTGCAGGTTGAGACGGTGGTCGCGCAGGAAGAGCCGCAGGCTGAGCGTTCTGAGGGGAGGCTTGGGAGGCTTGGGAGGAGGCATGTGGAAGAGCTTGGTGTGGCTGGGGGCGAACCATGGGAGCCTGTGTTTGGTGCGCAAGGTCTTGAAGAAGAGGACGGGTGAGCTGCGGCTGGTGAGAAGCCCTCGAAGTGACACGTGGGGCGTTGTTGTTGGTGTCGTAGTTGTGATTTCCGATTGTGTTTGTGTTTGTGTTTGCGTTTGCGTCTGCGCCTGCGTCTGTGTTTGTGTTGTTGTTATTGTTGTCGTTGTTGATATTCATGGCACTGGCACTGGCTGGCACATGCCCTGGCACTCGTTGAGAGTTGGCAGCTGGCACGACTATATATAGAGCAAACACCCCATTCACCAGTTAGCCCCGAATAACAAAATTCAGAAAGTACAAGAATCCATTAGAAAGAGCCTTGACCAACCTGCGAGACTGGCTTGTTGTATTCGAGCCTTCTGCACGACAGCCAGGTAACTCCTCAACATGGTGCTGCGGATACCCGCCATTTCCTCCGGCGACACTTTCTGCTCTTCAAAGGCGCGCTCCTGGCAGTTGTCCATGTTGAAGAGATGGTTGATCTCGACTCCCAGTGGCCCGTTAGGCACCCCGATTACCCTTCGGATGTACGTGAACAGCGTGTTGGCAATGGTTGGCGACGTACACAAGAACCAGTCACGGATCTGGAATGCCATAAGGGGCACCTTCTTGGACTGAATGGCTGCTAGGGCGTGCGGCCACTTTATGGCAAACACGGTGATGAAGTCTTTGATCTGGCTATACACGCGATCGAGACCAACCACATCGTCGCTGAACCCCGGGTACCTCGAGCACCATAGACGATGCGGAGGACTCAGTCGCTCACCATCTTGGAATAGGTTATATAGCTCACCAAAGGCTACATCAATGACAGTGGGCTGGATGGGGAAGCGGGCATATGCTGTTCTCCTGTCTATCATCCAACAGCAGTACTGTTGGTGGAGGATAAGGAAGACCGGGTCCATGTTGTGACAGGCTCCAAGAAGCATGCCATATCGAGCCCTCTCGGTGGGCGTGGCTGATACGTTGCCTTCCTCGAGTTGCCGAATCCTGGTCTTCATTAAGTCGATGGCCTCGAACATGGCTGTGTGGAGAGGAGGAGCAACGGGGGCCATATCTGGTGTCGGTGTAGGCATTCCTCCGTCCAGTCTCTGCATACCGACATCGCCGTCCTGGTCGCTCATTGTCTGGTTGATTGTGCCCATGTTCTGACCCTCACAGGGGGTATGAAATACCGGTGCGGGTTCTGCTAAGGCTATCGCAGGATGGCCTTGAGCATGGGTGAATGACGGACTGGCTTCATTGGTGTGAGATGGTGAGAGCAATGTGCACGTGGATGAGGCGCTATTTATGACAGGAATGTGTTTGTTAGCAGATATGACTGAGAATGGGTCTTTCTTGATGAAGTGAATGCGATAGTGGTGAAGACCGGGAGGCAAAAACAAGGCAGAGGAAGAAACCACAAGCTTGGAGAAGGTGGCACCCCGGGGAAGTACACATATAGAATGCGGAGGAAGAAGACTCCTCAAGGACCTGGTAGTAGACAAGAGAAAGACAAATATAGCAAAGCGAGAGGTAAAGAGAAGGTAGGAGACAGAGAGGAGAAAGACAGAGAGATAGAGAAGAAATGAGAAGGAGATGAATACAGCAGCGCAAGAGATACAACAACTGGATTGCATTACCTACCTATGCAAAGAGGCCCCTGAACACTGGCCTTCTTGTGCCGTATGTGCCTGTGACTGGGGCACCGGCACAGAGCCGGAGGTGGTCAGACCGTGAAACGGAGGAGAGGAGGCAATGGTGGTAGAGTCTGCTGTAGCTCTCGCAGTTGTAGAAATGATAGCATGATAAGCCTTGTCAGAATCAGCCGAAGCAGTAGACGCAGAATTTAAATCAACGGCCAACTGCAGGCCCCGGCTGCTCAGCTTGGACTTGCGTTGAGGCGGCTTGCTAATCTGCTTGGTCCCAGGCCTTGGAGGCATTGCAGCTAATTCTATTCGTCAGACACGGTTGGTCTTCGTTGGGCCAGTGAACTGACAGTACCTAGGTATTGGTCATGGAGCGGAACGCAGCTGACTGTAAGTGAATGCTGGAAGGACGGCTGCTTGTCACAACGCTCCGAGTATAGGAGTGAGGATCGAGTGGTTGCCCTGAGCTTTGTGTGACGCACAAGGGTACTACTTGGGTAGCTGCTCTGATAGTATACGGACAGAGGTTATTGCTTGCTGCGCTCGAGCCAGTTATTGTAGGTACCGATGAGGTGTTGGTTGAGGGTGGAAGAGGAAGAGGAAGAGGAAGAGAGGGAGCGGCAGAGAATGGGAGAAAGACGGAAGGAGAAGAGCCAGATAACACCTGGGAATTCAGGCAAGCCGCATCTGTATCGATACCCATCTGCGTGCACATCAGCTGCCTGACTTGATGGTACATCTACCTCCCTCGCATAAGGCCAGTTGCCAGCAGTCAAATGAATCCAAATCTCTGTCGCCGTACAGCACAATCCGCCCGCTCATTGGCATACTTACCTAGGTATAGGTAGGTATTCACAGGATAACGAGGAATATGCAGCATCAAACCCAAGGTACCACCTCTTCAGTCTATCTGTGCCGGACCAGCATAACTCGCCGCCGGAAAAGCAGCCGCTGGACTCGACTGTGAGGATCTTGGCCCAAGCGCTTCATCGTCCTAGAAGTTTGTTTGTCACGCTTTTTGCTTCTTCCATGCAAGCCACAACACGCCATGCAGCGTGACAAACAACCACCCGCTCGACAGCCCGGGCAAAGAGGTGCGAAAAAGTCAGCAATCTTGCAGTCATAAAAGGGGCCATGAGATATGGCGGTGAAGGGAAGCGGCTACTTGACGTTCTCTCGAAAGTAAGTCCTCAGTTGGTGACTCTTCTTGGGGAGAGGTACGGAGGGATGGATGCGTGATCCAACTGTGTGTGTATCTGTCCGCTTGAAGCGCGACGGCGGGATTAGAAAGAAGCATCACAAGTACCTACATATCAGCTATATGTACTCACCCATACAATGGATGGTACTGTCCAGCTTGTTTGGCACACACGGCTCCTGACAAGGGATTGCTCATATGACTGTAGATGCGTCACACAAAGTGCAGAGGGGGGAGGCAGATGCATGGTGGCGCGTCAATAGCAGGGGGTGCGGCATGCGAAGCGTCCCGATATGCTTTCTGTTTGGTCCCGTCTCTAACTGTTCGATTCTTGCTTAATATCAGGTTCCCTTATGAAGGACTGCCAAGGAGATGGACTACTATCAGGCACAGATCCCGTTCTTGAAGTGCGGCTGGGCTAGTTACATAGTCTACTATTATAATAGTAGTAGTAGTCAGGCACCCGCTCGGCACTTTTTCGATAGCCTCACGCCAACATGGAAACTGTTCCACTTGATTCCACTTCAACTCGCCCTACACATTGAACGCAACCTTGAAGTGGCTTGAGCTAGAGCCTTGCACTGCATGCAGCTAACTTGCGGCTGACGGCGTTCCAAGACAAGAACGTCGGAACGGAGTGCAACACCTGGTACAACAGATAATACAGCAAAGAGTGCTTTTATCAAATATAAGATCCATACGAGTTTCAGGTTGTTGGTCCAGCAAGACAGCATATCGTACCTAACCTTAGGAAAGGAGAGAGAAGAGAGTATGAGTAAAAGACGAGAAACAGCTGTGCGGTAGACAGTACTAGTAAGTGCGACTGTGGCTATGTGCACTGTATTTTGATAGGTGGGTCCTCTGCATTTTCGGTCAACTGCCATCAAACGTGACCCCGGTTTCATGGACTCTCCAGACTCTGGGCTGGTCGCTGCAGCACCGTCTTGGACACTGTGGGCCACGACGCCGTCCACCCACATGCAGCAGATACAGGACCTACCTTACCTAAACATGAAGGCATCATCATTATCTGCATCTACTCACCTCAACTTATCTACTTCGTGAAAGAGGCACAGCAATCACACAATATTGGCAAAGCTGAGACAGTGACTAGGTTATGGCCTGTCAAGGAGATGCTCTGCCTGAGCCATCCATCTTGAGCAGTCCTGAGAACTTCACTGACCGCATACCTTAGTACCTCACCGGTTTACGCACCACAAGAAACTTCCTTCCTGAGGTACATCCATCGTGATGAACTCGAGAAACAACGATCGAGTAGGTATCTTTAGGCAGTTGGGCTGTATGTAAGGTATCTTGGACAGTGCTCGAGATGGCTCCGAAAGGACTGCCTTCCTCAAGGACAAGGAACGCCACACCATGAACCCGCAAGGACTGCCTTTGGTTCATCTCGTGGTCAGGGGAGCCACGTACAGACACAGACGCTCTACAGCTGCTCATTCCTTAGTTGCCTTATCGAGAAGTCTTTCGAATAACAAGATAATCAAGTTATCCAAAACAATCTGCCCTCTTGATGACCCCGAATCTCTGAGCAATCAGCTTCTTCAACCGGTTTCCAATCCTCTTCAGCGTTATCGGGTTCCCTGATGACGGGCTATACCCGATTCCCAGCGCCATCGTGACGCCTCATACTTCGACTTACCAATGTCGTCAGCAGCCGGCAGCGAGAAGTCCTGGGATTGCCTGCCCCCAGAGATCCGGCACCAGATCTTGCAGTCCTTGCTGGGGCAAGACGGTTCTCACCTGGCTCCCTATGCCGCTGTGTCACGAGAATGGCAAGCAGTCATTGAGCCGCACACCTTTGCTCGAATCAAGCTGACGCCGTCGCGCATCGAAGAGTCTGAATCCATGCTCCACCGCAACAAGGCTCACGTACGATATATATGGTTGTGCTTGGAACTCATGGAATACGACTGCTATATGTGCGCGCCCATGGATCCATTACTAAGAGGATTCCGCGACACGGACAGCTTCAAGGTCATGACAACATTACTTAATGCCTTTACAGTTCTCAGCAAATGGGATTCACGCGGCTGCCTGCAGCTGGACATCAGCATCTACTCCCCCAGCGATTCAGAGCACTGGTTCAAATATCTGACGTTCGAACCCGATGTATCTTTCGAAGAGCGCGACCGACGTCGACGCGTGGAGCGAGCGATACGGTACAGATGTGAGGACTGGAATCACGGTTGGCGTGGTGGTCGTCGACGTTTCGCCCCAGACAGATGGGCCGTGCACAAGATATTCAACGATATCATGGACAACGTACCCTTTTTGGAAGACGCTCCAGAACACCAATACTGGCAGCTGCTGCCTTTGGTCCCAGTGGTGACGAGTGTGCTTCTTCGTCAGCAGAACCGCCGACGATGGAATCCGACGGCGCTGGCGTGCATATTTGCCCGGCTTCCCCGTCTTGGGGAGGTTCATTACGAACCTTGGAGAGAATGGGACCATGCACAACAGATACAGATGGATGAGTGTCAGTCTGCCATACTTGTTGTCATCCTGCCCGAGCACTGAAACCATACTGAACTTTATCAACCTGCAGGCATGCGATCGCTCACGGAGTCCCTGGCTTCTAGCCAGGTACGACGACTCATACTATTTGAGACTTCATGCCCGCAGTACTTGCTTGACTTCCCGCATTTCGATGCTGACCGAGGCTCGACCGTTGTCGTAAGCCAGGCCATCGCCAGGGCCAGCCTCATGCTCGAGCACCTCTCAGCATCATTCATGGTAGACGCTAGCGAGTTCTTTGCCGCCCTCGATCCTTCCTGGCGATGGCGCAACTTGACATGGCTTGCGCTGACTTCACGGTTGCTCGCTCCCGATCAGGACGTTGATACGATGGATGGCATGCTTGAGGCAGCAGCGGCCGCGGCCATGACCATGAGAAAGCTGGAGACAATGGAGATTTGGAATGGATCAGAGGGACTGGCAATGCTCTTCAGATACAAGCGAGCCCCAGCAAGGGCAATGGCTGAGATTACAATCAGGGGAACCTGGGAGTTGTCCTTGCATCCTGGAGTTGTCAATGCCTGGCAAGCCGCCGCAGGGAGGCATTGTTGCTACGGATGCACAATTGAGAGGGAGTCGCTGGATGCTGCTGCTGTCACCTCGTACGCTGATGCAATACACCTTCTGAGGCTTTCCCACCCGGTGATTCGGCCCATTTCGCTGGAGCAGATTCGGATGGAGCAGAGGATTCGAGATGGGGTGTTTAGCGTGAGATGACGGGGAGAAGGGGTTCATGATGAGCTTGCCAGGAGATCAGTACTAGGTAATAGTCTGTACTCTTAACGTATGCGGTTTCTTTAAGGTAGTATAAATAAGATGGAATGTTGTTCGAGGCACTGCCTTATGCGGGTACTAGTAGAGGCGACTTGTGTGGTTGAAACAAGCACAAGACAAGTCTTGGATGACGCACTTAAAGTATAGTTGACTCAAGATAGTTGGTCTCTCTACAACTGTCAGCATACAACCATATGATTGGCATAGTCAAAACTTTCCTGGATCTCTGCCATGACTAGTTCTTCCTAGTAAAAGAAATATCATCGTCATGGTCAGATACCTCATCCGTACTGTATCAGTCCCATCACAAAACGCTCGAGGCCAGTATCGACAGCGTCAACAGACAGTGCCTGCCCACCGTGTCCGGATCCGTCTCCAGTGGCTCGAGAGCCCCCCAAGTCCCCTAAACGCACACACTGTGCCAGCGCCCCTGCGATTCGATTCGCCAGCCGAGCCCAGCCTCCAGCCGCGCCCAATCGCCTCCAGGGCTGGCTGCCACCAATCCAAGCCGTTTCAACCCTCAACTCAACCATCTGCGTCCAAGCAGAACCCAACAAACGGCTTCACGTCCTGCCTGCTCGGCACAGCCCTTCTCCCAGCTGCAGCAGCACAACGGCCGCAGCAGCTCGCAGCGCACACAGGCGAAGGGATTCCTGCCACAGCCACTGCCACTGCTACACTGCTACACTGCTACACTGCTACACTGCCAGCGCCCGCCTCCGCTCTGCGCGCCATCTCTCTCCCTCTCTCTCCGCTCCCCGGACGCTTTTTCCACCAAGGCCCAAGCGGCTCCAAAGGGGTCTTGGGCTGGGGCAGAGGACAGACCAGACAGACGCCCCTCGGCTCGCCTATTTTTTTTCTTTTTCTTTCTCTTTCCTGCCCTCAACGCTGCTCAACTGCCGCCGCGCGTACAGCCTCGAACTCACTGGGTCGACCTCCAGCGGCAAACGGCACGCCCTCGCTGGTCGCTTTGACGACGCAATTCCGAGTTGCGGCGCGGCGCAGCGCATAAAGCCGCCTGACAAGGCTCGTCGACCGCCATCCTGCTTCCTCGTGCTCGCCTCCCCCCCTTCGACCGGGATTCGATCCGTCTCAGGGCAAAGACCGCTCATGGCCGTTGTCGCCTTACGGCGTTGATGAACAGCAGCAGCATCTTGGCTCTCCAGTACCGCCGGGACGCATCCGCTCACGGCATCGATATCCCTCCCGCCCGCTCTCCTGCGTCCAGCTGTTGTCGCTCTTCGGAACGAACCACCCCCAGCTCTGCAGCCTGGCGGTATCGTCACCCTTTGCTTGGCTTCTAACAACAACAACAACAACCAACAACAACAACTTGTTGTTCCTCCTGGTTTGTTCTATATATATAAACCCACGCGCCGTCGACCACAATGGCATCGCGAGCACCAAACGACGGGGCTGTGCGGCCCGACGTGGGCGACCTCTTAATGGTGATCCACGACTTCATTGCCCGTAGCTCGGACGAGCTGAGCCTTAAGAAGGGGGACCGCGTGGAATTGCTAGAACGAGATGACGAGTTCGGAGACGGCTGGTTTCTTGGTCGCCACATGACGAACAACAATACTGGTCTCTTCCCTGAAGGTGAGTAGCGCTCAACACCACAATCAGACGCATCAAGCAATTACGCGGTATCCAGCAGACCTCCGCTAATCTCTGCCCGCCATCTTAGTTTATACCCGACCGACCCCCAGAGCCGTCTCGAACCCTGCCTCGACCCCTGCTTTCATGTCTTCACAGCCGCTCTCTCCCCTGGTCGAAGTCACGCAAGAGACATCCCTCCAGGCCACTCCGATTGCTCATCCATCGGCGAGCTCGTCTGCCATGCCTCTGTCCTCAATAGCATCCCCCTCGGCTCTGCCAGCGCATTTAATGAAAGCCGAGTCAGCTCCCGTGTCTGGCCTGGGTGGCACAGGATCCCCCGTCTCCGCTCTGGACAACAGCGGACAGGACGAGTTCCTCAGCGAAACTCTCAACGTCATCAACGAGCACATTACCCACCTGCAGTCGCCGCCCGGCACCAGTGCTGGCAACACGGCCGCCACAGACTCTGGCAGCGAGTACAGCGTTGCGATTGACCACCGAATGTCGTACATCCAGGGCGAAGAGACGGACGAGGAGGAGGAGGCCGAACACAGTCGCGCCGAGGTGGAGGCCTGGTCTCCGGACGACGTGGCCGAGTACCTCTTTACCGAAGGCGTGGAGAAGCACCACTGCGAGGTGTTCAGGGACCAGGAAATTTCGGGTGAGGTGCTGCTAAGCATGGACCAGAGCTCCCTGTTCATTAAGGATTTCGATCTGGGGTCCGTGGGTCGGCGCCTGAAAACGTGGCAGAAGATTAAGGCCCTTCAAGACATGGTTGCCGGCGACGAGCCAGATACCCGGCGCGCCACGCATACGCGCGGCAGCGATGGCGGATCCGAGGATGCGAAACGGACGAGAAGTCGAACGAGCACCCTGACAGGGAACTCAATATCATCGCGACCCACCTCCGTCCAGGCTAGGCGCCTGTCCCTGGCTCAGTCATCTAACAAGGCCTCTCCAGCCGCTCATATAACCCCAACAAACGGCACTCAGGAGAGCCCCTCGCGCACACACGTCAAGCGCCCGTCTGCGGCGTCCATCCGAGACCTCAACCACTCACGACGCCACTCCTCGACCGAATTCCGCCTCCCAGGCCCCAATGCGACGGTGCCCAAGGTATCCGCCAACGCAAACCTGTCCGTGGGTGATGGCGTGCATAAGAAACAGCCCTCCTTTGATCGAAACTGGACCCTGGGCGGCGCCGTCTCGCAGACCTCTCAACGGCCGCTCTCCTCCACGGGCCTGCAGGAAATGCTAGGCGCGTCCGAACCCGAGCTGCAGGACTCCGCCGTCGAGCTGGACCGGGGCTACTTCTCCGGCACCGAGGTATATAACCAGGGGCGCAATGTGCTGCGGAAACGTGACAGGGCTGACCACGGGACTCAACAGAGCTACGCCGACGAGCAGAGGGTGCGCAGCGCAACGGCCCTCTCCCGGCACTCGAGATACGGTAGCGTCGACTCGTTCCGGGACGGAGCGCCCTCCGCCGCGCAGAAGTACTACGGCATCCAGGCCAGCCCCCACAGGCGCAACGCCTCGACCAACACGACCGACTCCGTCCGCCCGCCGCCCCCGGCCAAGGATGGGCCGGCACCGGCCGTCACCAACCTGGACACCATGATGAACCCTGCTCTTTCGGAGCCGTCGCCAGTCGCCAGCAAAGGCCAGAGCCTCAGCACCGATTGGCTCTCGTCGGTGACCAAGCCAGTCGGCAAGGCCACGCGGCCCGCCATGCGAGCCATCTCAGACAAGCTTACCTTTGAAAGATCCAAGGGCAGTGGGTCGGCCGACCTCTCGACGAATGAGCCGCCCATCCCCTCACCGGTGCGGACAGGATCCAGCACCGCCTCGGCAGGGCAGAGCCTGGAACTCGAGCCTCATGATGCCCTCAAGAGCCCCGTCACGGCGACGGCTCCCGCCAACAAGAAGGGTGGAAAGAAGGGCAAGAAGGAAACGAGTGCCTATACGCAAGGCCTGTTGAAGATTCCACCCGCGGTGGCCATGAAGGATGCGGATTACTATGGCTGGATGAAGAAGAAGAGCTCCAATCTCATGACGACCTGGAAGCCGCGGTTCTTTGTTCTCAAGGGACGCCGACTTGCGTACTACTACTCGGAGGAGGACGACCAAGAAAAGGGCCTGATTGACATCTCCTTCCACCGCGTCCTCCCCGCCGATAACGAGAGGCTGACCGGACTGCACGCGACCCTGACTGGCGCGGCTGGCGGGTCCATCATGCCGAGCGGCCACACGCCTGCAGGCGGCGGCGACGACGGCCTGAACAAGGGCGACGACTCCATGTTCATCTTCAAGCTCGTTCCGCCGCGGGCCGGCCTGTCCAAGGGCGTGAGCTTCACCAAGCCGACGGTGCACTACTTTGCCGTGCCCAACCTGAAGCAGGGCCGCCTGTGGATGGCCGCCCTGATGAAGTCGACCATTGAGCGAGACGACACCCAGCCCATCACGACGACGTACCAACAAAAGACGATATCCCTCGCCAAGGCGAAGCAGATGCGCCATCGGCCCCCAGGCTTCGAGGACGCCGCCGCCGCCGCCGCCGCCGCAGGTCAAGACGGCGACAGCGGCGTGGACAAGCTGGCGGCGCTCAAGATTGACGGGGCTCGGCTGGACGTGAATTTTGGCGACAAGGATTCGACCTTTTCACCGCTGAGCGCGTAGAATGCGCTGCGGTGGAGGAAGACTCTGATTTGATTTTACTTTGATGTTGATTCTGATCTGACATGACATTTTGACATTTGTGGTCGTAGAGGGGGGGAAGAAAGGAAAGGGGGATGGTGAAATGGGATTCTTGATGTTCATTATGAAGGAGTGGGGGGAGAAGGGAGTTATCATTATCATTATTACTATTATTTGGGAAGAGCAACAAGGAGGATTTACAGAAGAAAGACAAAACAAAAAAGAAAAACCGTCGCAGAGAGATAATTATTTCTTTTGACATGAGAAATGGCTGGCTGGCTTATTTTGATAGGTACCCCCCCCTCTTTTGATGAGAAAGAAGGAAAACTCATAATTGGAATCATAAAGAAACGTAATGCGCGAGAACTACCTTTACGTCACAGACTTTCCTAGGTAATTGAGGAGGGTTTCAATATAGTAATCAAGACTAATTCTGATATTTGGGTTCTTTCTATACCTACCTCCTTTGTTACCCATCCGTGTCTGTGTCTAATGTGTTTTGTCACTTCCTGCCTCTCCGAAACCTCAAGGGAAGCATGAGAGGTGACTTGATGCCCTGGGTTCGTAACTAACAAGGTCAACAACCGGCATGTGTTCAATTATATCCCCAGTCTGAGAAGCTCACAGTCCAAAGAGACGAGGCAACATGATCAAGTTCATTAAAGAAACGCTACCATAGTATATCCGGCCCGCATCAAGCCGTAGCCGTACAACAAGACGTCAAAACATGCGTGCACTCGCGTCAGTCCTTCCCCTTCCGACGAGTGGCCCAAACGCCCCAGTATACCCCCCCCAGCTCCCTTGCAACGGACGATATCATCGTTATACAAATGCTCAGTTCGTGCCTGCTAGTCATCCCTACAGCCGGATCACTCTCAACGCCCAATCAATCGCCCTGTAACTTCTGATTCATGCCCTGGAGGAGCTGCCGGATCGACTTCATGAGATGCTGCTCGACCCCCTCAAAGTTGCTCGCCGGCTCGCCCTCGGCCGCCTTGGGCATAATGCTCGCATCAGCAAGGCCAATCACTCGATCAATGGCGGACAACGTCACAGCCTCAGCCTTGGCCTCTCCCAGACCGGACTTGATGGCATTGACAGAGGCATCCTTGAGCCCATTCAGCGCAGCCAATACCTTGGGCTCGAAAACAGGCGGCGTATCAGTGGGCAATGAGGTGGAGCTTCCAGGAGTGGGACTCTTGCCCTTGGTGAAGCCGTCAATGACTTGCCGGATTCCTTTGATGCAGATGGCCTCCATCTTGTCGTTTTCGGTCGCTTCTTTCTTCAGCCCAATGCACCTGTTCAGGGCCGACATGACAATGGCCTCGGCCTTGGGATTGCCGGCCTTCTTGAGATTGTCCACGAGGCCGTTTTTGAGGCCGACGACTGCGCCAAGAAGACGCGGCTCGATAATCGGCCGCGCAGGCGCCGCCTGTGGTCGAGGTTGCGGCGGGTGAGCGGCAGCCTGGACAGTCGTCTTCTGCGCTGCTGGTGCCGCCCCCGAGGTGGCCGCCTTTGGCTCCGCGGCGGCAGCGGGCGAAATGCTTGGCCGGGGTGGCTGCTGGACAGACCCAACGGCAGCCGCAGCTGGTACGCCGGCGCCGCCGTCCTCGGCCTTGACTGCCGGGCTTGCCAAGGGAGGAGGCCGCGAGGCATAGGGCGAGCTGTAAGCTCCAGGCTGGGGCACACCAAGCTGAGGGCGAGCCGGGGCCGCCGGAGGACCATATCCCGGTAGCTGGATCGGGGCTGGAGCCGGGGGCGGAGCGCCCACGGCCGGCTGAACCGGTTGGTGAACAGGGGGTGATTGTGATGGGCCGTACGGCGCTGGACGCGCTGCATGGCTCGGCGGCTGCGCCGCGTACGTGGGAGCCTGATATGCCGGGGCCTGTGCCTGGCTGGGGGGGTAGCCAGGATGCGCTCCAGGAGCCATGTGCTGGGCGGCATAGGGATACGAGTAATGCCCATAGGCCTGCGCGGCCGCCAGTCCTCGGTCTGGGGAGGATGCCTTTCGCTTCTTGCCGGCATCCAGCTCGACACCGGGCACTCGAGACCACAGGTTCGTCGTTTCATCCTTCCTAAACGCCTCGTTCCCAATCAGATTATGGCGTACACTACTCTCCCACCCCTTCGTCTCGGTGTGGAAATAAAACCACGGGTATCTTTGGCAGATTCTCTTGTAGATCTGCTTCAATGTGAGACCATCGGGGCCAGCCGCCGTCAATGTTTCGTCAATAAGCACACCGTAGTTCTTGTTCGGCTTCTGGAGCTGCTCCTCGGTGTAGTCCTCAATCTTCAGCTCCAGAGGAGGAGACTTGGGCCGTGCCTTCTTCTCCTTCTTCTCCCTCGCTCGTCTCTCGGCATCGGAGCCTTCGGCGCCGTCTTCGTTCTTGGGCTTCCGCGGCTTGTATTTGCGCTTTTCGGGACGGTCCACTCCGTCTTCCGGCAGCGGGTGTTTCCTCGGCCGGCCAACTTTGCGCTTGATAGGCGGCTCAACCGGCGGCGCTTGAGGCAGTGTCTTCTTGGCCATTTCTTGCTGCTGCTTCTTAAGCAAGCGCTGCTCTCTCTTCGACATGATGCCATTCTTGGGCGGTCTGCCAGGGCCCCTCTTCCTTGGTATCTCGGGCATCGAGAGGTCGTGATTCACTTCCCCTTCGTCCTTGATCTCAGAGTCGCCCTCGATGGATGCTTCCGGTACGTCGGCATCGGCCTCCTCCTCGTCTTCATCGTCTCCTTCTTCCTCTTCCTCTTCCTCCTCTTCCTCCTCACCGCCCTCTTCTGCGACCTTCTCCTCTTCTTCTCCCTCACCCTCATCGTCCCCGCCAAAGTCGGACAGTTCCGCGGGGCTAACATCCACATCCGACAGCTCATCACTCGTGTCCTGGATCTGGCCGTTGCCATGTGATTGTGTAAAGTCGAAGCTCATGCTCTTTCCGCCCTGAGCGTGGCGTTTCTTGGTGGCATCCTCTTCCTGATATTCTTCGGCGCCGGTTCGTCCTCGTTCCACGCCGTTGATGATGAACCTGAACCCAACGTCCTTGATCTGAAGGCGATCGCCGCACCTGAGTACAACTTTTTCGCTCTTGTAATGAACATCCTCGCAGAAGAAACCATTCTTGTGTAAGGGTATTGCCTCGAATACACCCTCGTCCGGGTTGTAGGCAATCTTGAGATGCTCCCGGGAGATGGCCTTGGTTTTGCTCGCGATATTCGGGCCGGGAGAGTGAATGCCGATGAAAGGAACATGGTAGGGTGACGGCCTTAGCGAGGCCAGATCGACTGCAGCAGCGCCAGGAGTGTGAGAAACGTATTGGCGGTTGGATATGATGTTATCTTGAGGGTTCTCGTTTTCATTCTGCTGCGACGATCCCGTAGTGCTGGTCTTGCGCCGCTTCGCTGGACGCCCATTATCTTCGCTATCTGATTCTGGGCCAAGCATGCCACCTTCCTCACTGACGTACGATTTACTAAACTTGTGACGGTCCTGAGGCAGAGGAATGGGGGATGGGGGGGGAAGGCCTTTGCTCGCATTTTCTTCGACACGCCTTTGATACTCCTCGGCACGCTTTCCATCCCGCCTGGCCTGTTCCAGAGCTCGCTGGTCACGACCAATGATGACAGCGTAGGTGGTCATCTGAAAGACGCTGTCGGCGAACTCTACACGAGCAAACGACTCGAGGCCCATGTCGGGGTCAGACTGGCGCAGGTTGTTGTTAGAGCCCAGGCCAAAGTACCCTTCTTCGGCAGGGTTGGGCAGGGTCATCTGAGAGGGGGTGACGGTGGGCGGCGGCGACATGGCGGGCGGCGCAGCAGACATGGAGGCCAGGGCCATCATCATGTATGCGTGGCGGTGGTCGATGCCAGCAGGCTGGGATGCGAACGGTGTTGAGGCTGGGAATTGGTCTGCCGATGTCACCTGGGCAGGTTGCACAACAGAAGGCGATAGGTGCGGCGCCGTCGCAGCAGCGGTCGTGGTAGCTCCAGGAGCGTCTGCCATTACAACGTCTTGGCCCCCGTGTCCGTCCGACTCAATTGTAGCTTTCAGCCCAGCAGACTCTCCGACTCCAGATGTGTTTGCGTTTGGTACAACGGACTGCTCTAAGCCACTCTCGACCTTGGCTACACCGTTAAAGGTTGGAGGCGGCGGCGGCGGCGGCGCTGTCGTCGTCGTCGTCGTTGTTGTTGTTGTTGTCGTCGTCGTCGAGGGTGCGGCAGCGATTGAAGCTTTTGGGTTCTCTTCTAAAGCACGCGCCTGCTGTGGGGGGGCAGCAGAATCTGCTGGCAGCGACGAGGGCGGCGCTGGTGTGGACGTTGATGCGACGGCTGTTGCGGCTGCAGGAGGCGCCGTGCCGTCGTGAGAGCCAGGCTGCGGACCGGATGATGTCGCCTTGTCGCTAACCGACACGGATGCTTCTTCTGTTCTGTTTCCGGGCTGTGATTGCTGGAGCTCGAGCTCCGGCTGCCGTGGGTGCTCTTGCGCCGGCTGGTGCGCGGCCGCGGGCAGCATCGACGCAGCTGCGGCTTTGGGGTGGTCGGGCAGTCGTTGCGCAGCGGCAGAGGCAGCAGCATCCGCATCTGCGTCCGAAGCAGCAGCAGCAGCAGCAGCAAACAGAGGCGCCGCCGACGTCGTGGAAGCGGAAGCTGCAGGTGCAGGCTCGGGCTCGGGCTGGGGGTCGGGCCTGGGCCTGGGCATGGGCGAGAGTGAGAGTGAGGCTGCGGGTGCGGGTGCGGCATCGTCGAGACGGCCGTCGAGCTGGTCGTGGGCGCCGGCCGAAGTCATCGCTGCTCGCTCGCTCGCTCGGGCAACAGCTCGTTCGCCAGGGCTGCGGGCAGTCGCTGCGCTGCTGGTCGACCGGGAGACAGGAGAAAGGCCCTTCTTCTCCCTCTCTCTGGGGCGCGAGGCTGGCGGGTCGTCGTTCGGCTGCCTCGTCTCTCGTTCCTGTCGTCTGTTTTTTTATTTCTGGGGCGGCCGGGAAAAAAAGATGTCGGAGCCCGTCACAAGAGAAAGCTGCGATCCTTTTGCAAGCCTTCCTTCCCTTTGAACTTTCTGGCGCGATTGCCGGGGGGGTCACAGGCGCGATCCGGGCCGCTGATTGGCTGGGCGGCGAGCCTTCTGGAGCCTCCTCACCAGTTCCGGGTTCGCTCTAGCCGTTAAGAGCAATCGGGTACGAAAAAATTATTGGAAAAACAGAAGGCGAGGGACCAAAGAGGCTCCTTCTGCTCCGACTTGGTTTAAACGGTCATGATTGTCGTTTCCCCGCGTTGCCTGATGCCGTTACCTTGGCAGTTGCTGTCGACGCTGCTCTTGCCTACTTGCCTGCATTCCTTTGATTGATGACATTTATTACCAGATACATGTCTTGTACCTTGATTATGTGCCTGATGGATGACTCATGCTAAAGCGGGATGAGGCTGCATCACTGCATCTGTAAGAGTTACTATGAATCGCTTCATTGCGCCTCCATCCCGAGATACCGAGACTTCACAGTGCACTCCTACCCTACGGTATTACCTACTACAGTCACAGCACATCAATTCACCGCGATGCTCAATCCTTTGGTTCTCCTTCTAGGACATTGAAAGCCTTCAAGTCCGCTGGCTCTGTCCTCCCTTGTCAAGCATACTACTACTAGACTCGACTGCTGCCCCCTCTTCATGCAAAAGGAATGACGAGACCTCCGATCTAATGCAAGGCGAAAATCAGGAACCTATCCCTGGAGTACATCCCCAGCGCTTTTACCCGAGCTTTCCGTCTTCAAGGTTGCTGCGTATACCAGGCCGGGCGGTACCTGCAAGCATTGACTTACTCTACATGTACCTATACCTTACCAACTGACGTGCGATATCACACACTTGCAGCGTTCATGATCAATTCGTACATATACGAACAATACAGTTTCTGTTGCTGTCATCCTTCTGAGGTTACTTGTTCACGTTCAAACGCAGTGCTCATAGTGTCTATACCCTATTTTTATCCCTCTGCCGCCCATCTGATTCGTTGTCTCACCCCGAAATGCTACACAGAAGCCTCCAGCGGCTACTGTAACAAGCAGCGACTTCACCACATCCACTCAACGATCATCGCCTTAAACACCCAGACAGTAACACGACACAATAAAGCAAAGAATCAATAGAGTAAATCTCGCGTCTTCAAGCATGAAAGAGTGGGCGCTAGCATCATGGAGGATCGAACAAGGCCGCGACAATGGCCCCGAGAACCCACAATTCGCTCCCTTTAGAACAATAGCAGAACACACATAAAGGTGACAAGGTGAATGAAAGAAGTGGAAAAGCGAAGTTGGGTCTGCCGTTTGCATTGATAAAAGTCTCGAGACTTGTTGATTTCGTGCTTTTGGCGTTGCTGCCTTTCTTTTTTAGTATCATCATTCTCTTCTTTGCTCGGGTAGCTGTGGTTGTGCCGACACTCTTTTGCCAACACTACCTTATCTTTATACTCAACAGACTCAAGATCGCTTCACATCATACACTTTTGAGATCTATAAATCGGGGGGAACTGGGACAAAGGCAGCAAGATGCCGACAGTTCACGTCGAGATTCGCCGGCCTGGCCACCACCACCACCGCCATCATACCATCGAGCCCTCCTCCTTCATCCGCCAAATCAAGCCCAACACAAAAGATGCCAACCACCAGAACCCCAGCTCGGAGCACTCCCGATACGTCCAGATGCTCCTCCAGCAGGACGACATCCCCCTCCTGCACAACATTCTCGCCTCCGTCTTCGTCTGGCTCCTCCTCGCCGGCTTCCTCGTCTTCCCCGGCACATTCACCAGCCTGCAGGCCTCCGTCGACAAGCAAGGCGACGGCGACAACGACCACACCTTCTCCAAGGAAGCGGCCAAGCTCATCGTCAAGAGCATCAAGAACATCCCGCTGCTCGTCATCGCCATCGTCATGTGCTGCATCTCCGCCATCGGGATGCTCGTCCTCACCATGCTGCACGCCAAGAACTACGTCTGGATCGTCAACAAGCTCTTCTTGCCCGGCATGACCAACTCGCTGGCCGGGCTGGTGTCGACGCTCATTGGCGTCTACTCTCAGCAGCACGGGACGTGGAGCATCACGGCTAGGACCACGGCCATTACCGAGGGGGCTTCGCTGGCCGTGTGCGGCGGGCTGTTTCTCTTTTGTAGGATGCTGCTCTTGCGCAAGGTCAAGGAGACTCACGAGGAGCACTACAAGGGCTGGCCGGGACACAGATATTCGAAGCAGCTGTTTCCGGATAGCCCGCCGTGATTTTCAGAGTAGACCATTAGCTGGTATATAATGGGAAAACGCACTTCGCTGGCGAAGAATGAGACAATGAGCTTGGGACAGGATTGGAGGGAACGCAACGGGTCGATATAAATTCGATGGATAGACATTAGTCATTAAATAAAACACACTCTGACGTTTCCCATCTTCAAGCTTCCACGGTTACAAGCTCATCGCAGTAATGGCGCCCGCTCGCTTGAAAGAATAGACCGGCGATTCTTCCAGCTCAGGAGCCTCTCAGACAGCCGATACGAGCTGTGACAAAGCATGCCGGCCAGGAAGCCAACCGCGTCGTTCCTGAACGCGAGAAGGCCAGCTGTCGTCACCAGCATGACCGTCCATCGCTCCAGGCGTTCTTCGTCTGAGAGATGCCGATGCTCCCTCAAGCCCTCCGTACGGCCCTGGCCAACAGACACGTGCCACAGATCAGGAGCACCCTGGTTCAGCGTGTGGCCAACCTTGGCCAGCTCCAGCCCAGCAGCCACCACCATGACGCCGAGCAAGCCCTTTGGGTACTGCTTCAGCAAGTTGACGAGCGTCTCCCCAAACAGGAGCCCCAAAGCAATCTTCAAGAGGCCCAGCAGGATCACGCTGGCTCCGCTGCGTGCGCCGAAGCGGAACTGGGCGGCCAGTCCTCCGGCGCCGTGGCAGACCGGCATGGCTCCGAACCATGTTCCGGTGAGGTTCATGAGTGCCACGCTCAGTCCTATCGAGGTGACAGAGGGTGTGGGCAGGTCGGGCAGCAGATCGGCGGCCAGCGCGCTCACCGCGATGATGGAGTTTAGAGTCGTCAGTGGAAGCTGCCCTATCGCCATCCACAACGCCGGGGCGTCTCCGTTACCGATCCACGAGGGGAGGACAAAGTGTGGTTGCCAGACGTGGAACCAAGGCAAGCTCTGGTGAGAGAGTGACACCTGAACGAGGGCCAGCACCAGAGATAGGAGGAAGAAGCTCAGGGCGTACGGGAAGCGAGGCATGTTCTGCGTCAGGATGAGGACGAGGAAGGCCGCCAGGGCCCAGAAGCGGTTGTCCAGCACGGGATGGATCCAGCCAAGAGGCTGCAGCAGCGACGAGCCAGCGCCGATGATGAGGGAGAGTCCCGCCCCGAGTTGGATGCCCTTGACGACGGGGATGGGCACAAAGGCCACGGCCCTCCGCAGCAGGCCCGTGATGCTCATGACGAGGACTGCTGCGCCGACCCATTGCCCGGCAGCGACGACGACGCCCATGGAGGGATTCTCGCGTGCCGAGATGGCAGCTGCGGCGATGGCCTGGACCACGAAGACGATCAGCATGGACATGAAGTCGTAGATTTGGCGATGGCGATGGCTAAAAGATCTTAGAGACTGCGGGAGTCGAGCTCGCTCCACACCGTACATGCATCTCACTCGTTCATACATACCTTCATGGGCTGCACAGGCAAGGGAATGCCAAAGACGACGCCGGTGAGGACATTGAAGAAGCCCGAAAAGACCAGCGTCGAGCCCAGGTCAATGTACCCCTTGGCCGCGAGGGCAATCATCAGGGGCAGCAGCGTGCCCAAGTCGCCCAGCGAGCCGGATATCTCGGCCAGGGGCGCATCCCGGAAGGTCGTCAGGTTGTGGGCGTTGAGGCGCCGCACTCGGCGCAGCCAGGCGGTGGCCATCTCGACGCCTCCCTTGCTTTGGGCTTTTTTTTCCTTCCTCTTGCTGAACAGATGGACGGCGAGGATGGAGGTTGTTGATATGGCTGCAGTGAGGGGACGAGAGGAAGAGCGAGAGACGGCGGGCAGGATCACTAGGGCAAAGAAGGAACAACGTCTCTGGTCACCGATTGAAGGAATATCTAGGTAGGCATGTTTTGTAGCTTTGATATGACCATGGCAGGATCTCGAGCTGGGAGCGCTGGGTTCTCATAGGTGATGGAGAGCGCACATGGACTCACGTGGGATGCATTACGTCGGCGGAGAACAGCTGTCTCACGTGGTGCCAGCTCTTGGAGCAGCGACTGAGCCTCCCGTCTCTGTGGTCTCTCTGTTGGGAGTTGGTAGCACGAGAGAATAAACAGCGAAAGACGGGCCAGAATTGTGCTCTCTACTGATTCTTCTTTGCCCGAGAGACTGAGCAAGGGATGCATTGGGCTGGGCTGGGCGACGGAGAGCTGCCGTTGAAGCTTCTTCTGGGCATCTTCATTGTTCCGCGGGCGGCGATCTTTTCTCCTCGGCCGCGGCTCTACCTTAGCGTCGGTACAGCATCATGTGTGTACGATACCTCAAGAGATATCCCCGAATCTGATATCAAAGCAGTCCTCTTATTCAACCAAGGTTATGCACGCCTCTGCCATGTCAGTGCTGATGCGCCGTCCGCCTCGTCATCCATCACACAAAGATGTTCAGACAGGCCAGGCCAGCTGCGTCTTATCAGGCCGATTTCGCGGCAAAGGCGCCTGCGAGGTCGGTCTCGTAATGTTATCGCATCAACTGGCCAGGGCCATGCAAACAGAAGCGCATCGTCACGTGACTCGTCAGACGGACCGGTCGGTTCGTTGTGAACAGCGGCTTACACGCGCCCGTTCGATGGTGTGCTGTCGGTGCGGAAATGTCGCAGCGATATCGTCCCAACTCGAGGTCCCTAGGTGCTCATTTGGCATCCTCGAAGAAAGGGAGAAACCGAGCAAAAGGGGGCTCAGAGTTCCAGAACAAACAATGCTTCTGGTCAGCTTATTAGTATATCAGTATCATTTGCCAGAATGGAAAAGCGATGACCCGAGGAGAAGAAGTCCTCGATTCTAACTCGTCGTATCAACGGAGTTCCACCGAGGCATTTGCTCGCTCCCGGCCACGAATAAAGCCGACCAAAAATCGCTCTGGGCCACCCAATGATCATACAGCATTCAGCCCCGTTTGTCTTCTGCTCATTACCGGAGGGACCGACTCGTACTCGTAGGGTCCATGGAGAACAGGCGGAAAAGGTGTGCCTGGCCTAAGCTGGTACATACCTAGATAGAGCCGCAGTGGTACGGTGGAAACCCGGAGCACCCCGTAGGTAGGCGGTGATAGTATCACCCTTAGTACTCTGTACCTGCATTTCACAGGTTTTCTCCGATGCGCGGATGTCGATATCCGGCCATGATTCTCCACGATGGTAGCACGTCGTACCCGCCCGCGGTGAGTGAAGAGAGTCTAGACAAGTCGTGGAGAAAAGGCTCTGACCGCCTGGGGGATTTGCGGTTCTTTTCCGAGGGCAATGATTTTCTCCTCATCCTCATCAAGTATCATGATACCTGTTGCCTACCCTCAGGAAACAGAGCCAGTGGATACGGGGTTAGAGTTGTCTTCTAGTAGAGTGCCCGTCCTAGTACTATGTAGTACTGTGGAATATGGAGACTCGAGGACATATTGAGATCTTCAGGAACTAGCCGTTCAACGCAAAATGTCCAACACAATCTCGAGACAGGTACCGTAAACACCAAAGGCTCTTCGTGTCGATATCAGCGCCGTCGTCCAAGAAGAAAAGCCGCGGTTCGTACATGTACAACCTGATCATCTTAAAGTGCCACTACGATACGTTTCTGTTCAGGCCTGCAGCGCCGGTGCCAAAGCCGGGGTACCAGACGCAAAATGAGGTCATTGGCCGACACAGCGCAAGTCCTCATTTGAGCGCGAAAAGGGCGACGGTCCAGTAAAACAATCTAGAAGCACACGAGAAGAAGGACAAAGGTCCAATCAGTGCAAAGCCGATCAATCACTTGGCAAGGTGGAGATGCCTCGCTGGAATCGGCCAGCGGAATCGCCTCTCGCGCTTCTGACTACTACTACTACATACTGCGTAGTACTTCTTGTCCTGTCAGCCTCAGTTTTGCCTTGTCATGCCGTCCACGAGTCGAGTAATACCAGCCACGCAGGACGATTGCGCCGATTGCCGAGCTTTTTCCTGGGCGAGCATTGTCCGGAGTCCACGGAGCGGCCTTTATTTTGCAGCCAGCCGCCTTCTTTTGTCTCGTTCTCCATGTCGGGCTTGCCGGGTAATAAGTGGTGAATGCCGATGATTATAGGGTGGAGCATACCGGAAACAGAAAAGGGCCTCGACTTCTGCTCACAGCAGGATTTGCGTAGGTAGTCGTGCTTCTGCCGTTGGCGCCGTCAACGGGGTGGCGTTGTCATGTTATGCTGACCGTCTCTGCTCTGCTCTGCTTTGCTTTCTTTTTCATGTGAGCGGCGACGGCGAGGACGAGGCATGATGCTTCGATGGAATGGATGGATGGATGATTGGCTGGGGGCGTCTTGGTGTGCCGAGTCGGGACAGTCTCTGCACACAATGGCCATGTTATCGCTCCTTCGCACCGCGCTGTGCTGTCTACGGCACGCAATTGGGCGGCAAGGGCCGAGGATTTGCTCGTCCGTGCTGAGTGATGATACTATACGGCCTACTCGTGCATGTCGTTCTGAAGGTCTGACGCTTGCCACCTTTCTTCACCGGACTGGCGCGATAGTATGTACGCAGCACCGCCTGATGCTGCGATTGTCTGTCTGTCTATGGCGGTCGGCCTTCGGTTGCGGATTGTCGTTACTAACACAGGCAGCTGCAGTGCCGGTAAGAGAAGTACGGCAGTATGTACAACGAAGCACGCATCTCTATTTCGGTCTCGGTCGCTCGTAGTCCTACTCGTACGAGGTGAGACGTGACGAGAGGGCTGATCTGGGGATAAAGTACCCCGTAGCACAGCAGTTGACGGTACCTAGCCTGCCACAGTGCACAGAAACCCTGCACGACGCCTTCAAGGCCTTATCAGCTCTGTGTTCAAGTGCTCCGTTACTCAGCTGCTAGTGTTAGTATTTGGGATGCTAGATTTGGCGTCTAGGAAAAACATCGAAAGGAGAGGAAAGAAAAAAAAAGTTGGTAGCGGCATGTTTCGGTCAAGCCAGCCGCGCCGGACAGCCAGTCAAGGACGGCACTACGAGCGATACCAAAAGGCAATTGCCGCCTCCTGATTGAACGGTCCTGTGCGATATCCGTTGTAGCCGAGGCCGTCGATGGGCGTTGTGGATAGAGGGAACGAGGTACTGGTACTCCATACATGCAGTAATATCGCAGGCTGGAGTTGCTGTTAGATGGGCTTGCCGCACCGGGCTAAGCTCCTTAGACCAAATTCCAGAATATCACTCAGGCAAGCCACGGGCAAGTCTTGGTGATCCTGTACGCGCAAATATTAGGTCGGCGTCTGAGGCCGAGCTGGAAACTTGGCGTGGTGTATGTATAATACCAATTCATGCAAGATGAAGTTGGAGTTGGAGTACGTACAGGGTACACCGCAGCTCGACCCGTGAGGAAAGGCAGCAGACTGTCTCCTGGCTGGTGCGTCATAGGTACGGACACGGAATAGTACCTAGGTTAGTACCTATCGCAGAGGAGCGTCAATGCAGTCTTCAGCGCTCAAGGCGGCAGGCCGTGACCCGCGCTGCGCGCCTCGCGCTCCGTGATGGTGGCCGGGCGACCAGACACTCCCTCGTCAACCGCCCACAAATGGCTCTCGCGGAGATGTCGATTCCTCACCTGTAATCTGTACCTGGTACGTGCGCCTGTGGGAGGGAAGACTCTGTCAAAGTACAGCTACAGGGACGGGCGAAATTCGCGCAGGCAACAGAGCGAAGCAAGAGCAATGGAAGGGAAAAGATGGGCTGCAAAGCGGATCCACTTGCCATGGCCGCCGTCGAGGCTTCCCCACATGGGGCGCCCGGGCTAGTCTGGGCCTCGAGGCCGGAAGAGGTAATAATGGATCCAGGTGGAGGACGACGAGGAATTGACCTGATGGAGAGAGGAAGACGATGTGCGAGAGGGTCAGAGATGGTAAAGAATTGGGAAGAAAAACAGTTGAAGTTTGAAGGGAACCAAACATTTACAAGTCAACGAGAACATCGAAAAAGAAGATACTTTGAAGCATCGAAGAAAGCCGTGGCATCGGGGACCGCCGCATGTACCGGCCGAGGCATGAAGAGCACTAAAGCGGCCAGGGTCCAGCGCATGCCGTGTTCCGATCAAGTGGAAGACGGGCGATACTAGCCCGATGTACCCGGTACCTGTGCGTCGGTTCTTCACCAGGCTGGTCCTGTCGGTACTTCGTACGGAGCAATACCAGGTAATTTCCAGTTCGCCGCCAGCAACAGCCGTGACACGCCGTTGACGCCTTCCCAAGTCCAAGTTTTGCTTGTCGCGATAGTCATGTCATTGACACTCAATGCGAGGCATACACACTCACTCACTCACACTCAATCGAGTACTTCATACGAGTACTCACACACTCAGAGTACCTACACCCCCCCGGCCCAGCCCGGAATCCAGTCACAGTACCTGTTTTCCGGCTTCGTTTTTAAATACTCGGCTTCCCTCTCCTGCATTTCTATTCACTTCTTTCCCCCTTCTCTTCTTCTTCTTTTCCCTCTCCCAAGCCTAGTCTTCGTCGTCGTCGTCGCCGCAGTTCGTCCTCGTCCTCGTCCTCGTCATTGTCCGTCCGTCCGTCCGTCCGTCTCAGCAGTCTGTTTCCGCGCCGCTCGCCAATCGTCCATCGACAGTCCGGCTATCACAACCCCCGTCATTTCGTGTCTCCTCCGCGTCCTCGCCAGCTCATAAACCCAAGAAACAAAAGGTCAGAGCGCGCCAATTCCCAGTTTCGATCCCTGGACTGCCTGTCCTCGTCCTCGCCTCGCCATCTCTTTTTCCCTCCCAAAATCGCCCAGCGAAGTGGCCCGTGACGTGCTCCCCCACTCTTTTGCCCCTGCCGGTCCTCCGCTTGTACCCAGTACTTGTTCGCTTTTTTTTTCTTTCTTCCTCTGCCCGTTTAAAATCCCAGAGCTGCCGTGGAAACAAAACCTCAGCGCATTCCACTTACGCGACCATCTTCCAGACCTTCCATCCTTCTCCCTCTCTTCCTCAACGCCCTTCAACCCAAGAGGTAATGACCACACGCTCTCCCAATCCGCTCTCACCCTTCCCATCACCGCCGAAAGAATTCAATTACACACACTTCCAACTTCGAATGCCTCTTGAACGCCTGGCTTCCTAGCGCCTGCAGGTGGTCCTTCAGTCTCTTTACCGGAGCCGAGCCGTCGCAAAAATTTTGAGCTTCATCCGAGGCTACCGCAGCCTTCTGGACCGCGCACCAGGAAGAAGCTCGAGATCATCGCAACCGCATCGGCTCGTAAAGAGTCTGGATCTCTGCAACAGGCATCAATTGGAGTTACTGGGCGTGCTTTTTCCCTGAGGCATTTGATGCGGGTTCCCACCATCTCCATCTTTCCACCCCTGGCTCTCGTTCCCTTACCGCTTCCTGTCTTACACCGACCCCTGACACCACGCGCCTGGAGTTCAGCTCTTTGCCCGTCAATTGAGACATATAAAGGCCTTGAGACATCCTGAGACACCCCAAGACTAACTCAGCTTTCTTCTGCAGACAATCTAGACTCTCCTCTCCAACAGACACAATGGCCGCTATTGAGAAGAACCTCATTGCCGCTCGCGCCGTCAGCGAGCTGGTCAAGCGCAAGAACTGGGCCGCCCGGGAGCCCGGTGTCATTGTCGTCTTCTGCATCGTCTTCGTCGGTAAGTGACCATCCCCAACAGCGACTAGGGTAAAGAAGCGAAAAGAAAAAGAGCACTGATGTGTCTAACCTGGTCTGTTCTCTTAGTTGCCGTTGGTCTCATTGGTCTGTTCATCGCCAAGCAGTGCGCCAAGAGGCGGGCCTCCAAGTCTCAGATCTAAGCGACGACCTGAGGCCTGGGGAAGAGGGGCGGGTTGAGACTAGGGGGTGCAGAAAGGAGAAGTTGACGAGGGTGAGAGAGGGGGGCCACGCACGCAACGCAGTAATGAGACCGTGATTCATACAGACAACGGCGAAAACGGGGGGTGGTGTGTTGGCGCGACTCATGGGAAAAAGAACAACAACCACCTCGGCGAACCCAACGTTCCGCGTTCACGGGATAATGTCTTCAACAACCTCTTGGCCACGAGGGTCTCGGCACCAAGCACGTTTCCCGTCTTCGTCGCCCATCTTTTTTTCTTCTTCCGCAAGAAAGGATGCGCGACGTGATCGGTGCTTGCATGATCATGTACATATACTCTCTCATGCATTGGGCCTGCTTTCTTCGCGTCGCACACAGACACAGCGCCTTTGCTCTCAACGGGCCGCTCCATGGCTCGTGAGGCGATTCTGGGTGCCGGGACGGGCTCGTGGCCACAGGGATGCTATATTCTCTATATTCTAATACTCCTGATACCTCATATACAACAATCTAGTGCTTAAACCTATTATAAACTACAGCCTGTTTCTTCCTGTTCCTCAATCGGCGCCGTCCTCTCTTGTGTGTCCCTTCTAGGTGGTGAAGGTCTTATCCATGTATAGTCGGGTAATAGATACAAGAATTGATTCTACAGGCAATTGTGCCTCACAGCCCTTCCTTGGCCAACATATCAGCAACATCGAGATAGAAAGCAACAGCATTGAACGTCCTCTTCATCCCCATCCACTCACGCACCGCCCACCTCGCCCTATTCGACCAATTGATCAAATCGAGATGGCTCACCCCAACCAGCGTCCCCTTGTACTCGCCCCAACGACTGCTCCTCACGCTGACGAGCCCATCATTCTCCCCTTCCTTTTCCCAAATGACGCCGTACGGGACGCGAAACGCCCCGAGCAGCGACGGCTCGTCAATCATGGCGCCGTACGAAAAGTACCGCACCGCTTGGTCGTCGGGGACGCGCGGGTTGAACTCGTGGCGCATGTACCGCGTGGTGAGCTGGCCAAAGGCCGACGTGCCCAGCCCAGCGCGGCGGATGACGGAGTACAGCCGCGGGAGGTGCAGCGGGCTGCCGGCGTCGCTGTCGACGAGGTAGTCTGCAAAGGGGCTGCCGCGGTGCGGCGTGGCGATGGTGACGAGGGAGGCGACTTTGATGCCGCGCGGGCGCAGGCGAGAAATCATGTAGCGCGCGTCGAGGCCGCCCATGCTGTGCGCGATGATGTTGACCACGGGGGTCTTTTGTTGTTGTTGTTGTCCTGCTTGCCTGGATTGGTCCTCTCCCCCCTCCTCCTCCTTGCCCCCCTCTTCCCCAGGCCGCACGAGTCTGCTATCGCGGTCGTTGGTGTTCTTGTTGTTGTTGTTGTTGTTGTTATTGTTTGAGTGGCTGAGAGAGGCGGCGCTCGTCTGCGCGAGAATGTCGGCCGCGAGCTTCTCGGCGCGCTCCTCGATGGAGCCCGACGGCGGGACGGACGTTGTCAGCACGGAGCACCTGTTCGCCACGAGGGCCTGCTTGATGCCGTTCCAGTACTCGATCGCGGGGAGGTACGGCGAGACTTTGAGCTCGGAGAAGCCGAGGAGCCCGTGGGCGAGGACGATGGGGTGTTTGGGTGTTGCTGGTTGTTTTTTAATATGCGCCATTAGCCTTTTGATCGCTCTCGATTCGCTTGACTACGATGCGAAGGGACTGTGCAAAGAAGTAGAACGGAGAGGAAGGGGAGGGGGGAAACGTACCATAATTCTCGCGGATCATGGCATAGTCGTCTAGGATCTGCCTTCCAAGATCCCGTATGCGAGGATCGTGGCTGGATTCATGGAGGAGCGGCTTTGCGGCGCTGAAAGTGCGCGCGCGGGAGCGTCGTAGGTTCGGTAGGGAGCGAGAGAGGCGAGGGCCGTGATGGCGAGGCCATTGTTTCATGGCTTTTTTTTTTCTCTTTTTTATTCTATCGAGGATCGTATTCGAGCATCCTTTGTTTTATAGGGCATAGGTTGGAGGATTTGCGACAGATAGTGTGTGTAGAGGATGGAAATTGGCCAGACTACGTACCATGTCGTTGTTGGACGCTCGTTGACGTCATTGCAGGCGACCAGTGTCGAGATCGCATCGCGCTTCGATACACAGACACAGGCGGGCGCATGGAGGATGACAGCCATTGGGGACAATTGAAAGTACCATAAGATATGATTCCTATTCATAATATACCCGCGTCTATGGATATACACAGGGAGGCGGTGATTTGCGCCTACCATCTATTCATAACTCCTTTATACACCATTGTTTGTTTTGATTCGCTCCCAACTCCCGACCCAGCAACCCTGGTGTGCTCTCCCTCATGCAACAATCACAGCCTTTAATCATAGTGCCTAGCTCTTCTCTGGCATCTGGCTGGGCGCATTCTCGTTCGTCACGCCGCTGTACGCTGGCCGCGGCCGCAAGCCGTCAAACGGCCCCGACAAGTTCTCTGCCATGGCCTCGTCGTAGCTCGGCGGCGGTACGTCCTCGTAAGCCGGAATGTCGCCTGGTGGCAGCTGTGGAGGGTATAGGGGATCTTGAGGTGGCCTCTCAGGCATTGCTGGCCCAGCTTGGCCAGGCCGTTGCTGAGGTGGTCTGGCTGAAGGTCCGGGGGCGCTGGCCTCCGAGACGGAGGTTCTGGGAGGTAATCGGGGAGGGGGCCGGACAACAACAATGCCTTCTGGTCGCGTGTTCCGAGCAGCCTTCAACAGCTCGACGGGTGGCGCGATGCCCGAAAAGACCTCGACGCTGGCAAAGTGAAGAGGCAGAAAGATGTTCTGGGGCTGCGAGAAGGGATCCCTCGTCATGGCGCCCATCTTCGGATCGCCCCGGCTCACGCCCAGCTTCAGCTCTATCTCGTACTTCCGAGAAAGGTTGCAAGTGTTGAAAGATGGCGCAACGGTATTGGGCAGTGGCCGGTTCCTCCAGAGGTCATCTGGAATGACCATTTCCTTACCCACTTCGTCCCCCGGAGCGCACAGAGGGATGTTGATGTCTGTGTAGGAGGCGACAACCCAGCGGTTCACTTTATGATGGAACAGCCCGTGCGAACGGATCTCGGTCACGCCAATCAGGTCCATCTGGAACGATATCAGGTGGACTTGTTCACTGCTGTCTACGAGCTTCTTTGCGAGGAGTCGGAGGGGAACGGGCTGGTTGCACGTCAGGATTGAGGGATGCGGCAGTCGCGCTGAAATCTCTATTGAAGGCGGCGTTGGGGAGTCTCCATCGTCTTCTAAAGCCTCGCTGGCCTTCTTGCTGCCGAACAGTGAGCTTCGCTTCTTCGGAGCCCCCTTTGCTCGTGGCGTAAAGGAGAATGGCCGCCGGGCAAAGGCTTCCTGGCCGGTAATGGGAGGCCGCGGCGGCTCAATGGGCAAGAACTTGAAGCCGATCTGGTAGCGCCAATTCTCCTTGAGGAGCCCCGGCCGCTGGACCGTGACTTTGATGTAGTAGCGGATCTCGGCCTGCATAGGAAAGCCGGTCAGGGATGGAGGAAGCGTCGCCGTAACGTGCCGGAGAAACAGCTGCTTCGAACCGTCCATGACCCGGACTCCGGCAAGGCCAAAGAGGCCACCGCCTGATCCATAGCCTCCAAGGCCGCCCAAGCCGCCATACCTGGCCATGGCCTCCGGATTGCTGCAAGCATTGTTGATGGGTAGCTTGAAGGAGAAGGGAAACTGGTGCTGGCCGGCGTCGAGGGGATGCGATCCATACGGGTTGTTTGAGCTTTCGTAGTAATCATCCGGGAAGACCTTCAGCAGCTTGTACAGGATCTTGTGATTTTCACCCACGATGCTGCCCGGAGGCCCCGGTGGCGGGGCAGTTCGAGTGATGCCTGGCTCATATCCATAATTCCTGGGGACCTGTAGAGCTGTGGCGGACTCTCCTTCGAGCTTGACGACAATGGTGCCAATCTGCTCGCTCTTGGGCAGGGTTAGGAAGACCTTGCCAGAGATGGCGTCGAGGTTGGTGTAGAACTCGGGCTGATTGTCCAGCAAGATTTGGATGGACATGATCAGCTGTAGTCTGTCGCTTGCGCTGGGACGAGCGCGATGGCGAGCAAGGAGGAGGAAAGAGGGCTGAGGTGGTCAAACACGGGAGAAACTTGGGTTGGAACTAGGTAGAATGTGAAGAGACAAAGAAAGTAAATAAAGCGTCTGGAGTTTAGTAGGTCTCCCCAGCGAGGTATGGCGGCGAGGAATAGGGCTTTTGATCTCTTGGCAGGAAGCTCGGCAATTGATGAGGATGAGGCCAGATCCAAGGCGCGGTCATTGCCCGCGATGGCTCAGGGTCGAAGGGGAGGTCGAATCTTTGGCGATATTTTTCTGCGTCTGAGAGCTGAAACGATGCACGCGCGTCAAGTCATTTGGCGATGGGGGCGCAGCCTCGAGTCCAGGCCGTAGGAAGCTGAAGCTCATCGGCGGGAAATGGCCTGGTGGGTTGATGTCATCAGTTTTTGGTGCATGAATTCTGCCAGATGCACCGCCTGGCAGTGTGGCTTGCCGCGAGGCGCTGACGAGGCCGCTGAGGCGCAAACGCCCGCTGGATCCGGCGGCGGTTCTAGCGCTAAGACGCGCTGAAGATGGCACTGGACAGGTACATCACTTAAGGTTCATCTGCTGGGCGACAGCTTCAACCCGTCAAGAAACAACGACAAGACACGTCTTGTTGCATCATGTGGTGTCTCTCCATGCGCGCCGTCTTTCCCCGACACGGGCCACTTGACTGCTTCTGACTCCGTGTCTCAAGCAAGCAAGCAAGCATGCATCGCCAACTTCATCGACTGCCGAGCCGCGATGGGCTGGACGACCTGCCGTCGTCGCTGTTGCATTGAGGCTGGACTCGCTGCGACATCAACCCACTGCGGTCGGGCTCTCATCGCCTCGGGCTCGCCCTCTTTGCTTATTCCCAGTCGAGCCTGACGGATGAACTGCAGTCTACACGGCTATATCGTCTACCTCAAGGAAGTCAAGGGATACTCCGATGCATCGCAACGGACATGGCCTGCTGCTCGCCATGAGCATTTCGTGGCCCGCCTCGGTCCGGCGCTGCACAGATGAAGAAAGGCCAGGATCGACGACGTTGCAGCTGTTGGTTCCAACCGTTTGAGCTGCAGGTTTCCTCCTCGGCCATGGCGCCATTTCCAGAGCCCGGATCTCCAGCACCCTGCCCTTGGCGCAGAGTCACGGGCCGTCAACCCCTCGCTCGACTTGCCGCTGTTGGCTCTCGCTGTTCTCACGCCTCCGCTGCAACGTTCTGCAAGCGCAAATGGCAGCTCAGGCCTTGCCTGTCACAATCACGTTCTCTGGATGCGGTGGTGGCGACTGGGCATTGCTGCCTCTACTCTTACCGAGTTGCTAGGCAGTGCCAGCTCTTGATCTTGACCCTGAGTCTAAAGCTGACTCTGGGGTCACTTCGAGGTGCTTCCTTTTGGAGCTGAATCTTGCATGCATGCAGGACAATGAGGCGGCAAAGATGAGATTGCTCAACTGAGCTGTCACCTGGAGATCTCGATACTGACCAAATCACATGATTGACAAATCATCTACAGGCCATGGCACCGCAGCGACTTCCCAGTCGAAATCAGGAAGCTGTATGTCAACAACCCATGGCCAACGCAACGCTCTACAAGAGGGTGTGCACGCCTCGCGGCTTTTGAACGGCCATGGGCTGCTGGCCGCCAGATTTGGCCCCCATGACTGGACGGAAGCCAGTTTGTCAGTCCTGAGGGGCAGCGGCAGAACCAGACTGCCGGATCTGCCCTCGTCTCTCTGCTACCGCACGGTACATGGGTTCGTCGCTTGAACTGCCAACCAACTCTCCCGTATAGGTTGGCTAGTGATTGAACATGGGTGTCGCCCAATGGCAGATGGCCTCCCTGACATCTCATGCTCGGCATTTTACCCGAAAAGGCTCTTCTCCCTACTTGTACGCGGTCCGGCCTCTGTACAGCTTATCGAGATGCCTTTCCGCCCCCGAGGAAGGCTAAGCCAGTGGAGAGGAGTTCACCATCCCCTGTGTGAGTGACATGCCAGGCAAAGTCATGAAGGTTGCTTCCCGAGTGGGATGGCATATGGGGGCCACTCCATCAGGCTGCGATCCCCGGTCCACATCCCGTCCCCCAACGCCTCTGCTGCCACGATGGCTCTCTATTTTAAATACAGAGAGGCTCCCCATCCCTTGTTTTTCTGAGAGGAGTCCTGGTTCATGGTCACAGAGCCTTCGATGTGATCACGCAGCACCAATCTTCATCATGGCGAGTACCTGTGGCCCTACGTGTCCTACCGACAACGGTTTCTTCGTCAGTGGTCTCAATGTCGGAGGTGGTGCAGTCCTACTCGCCGCCTTTGCCTCCTTGACGCCCGCTACGTTCTATCTGGGATACCGCTTCCGCACCCCAGGCTTCTCCGCCATGCTTGCAACTGGCATTTCTTTTGAGGTCTTTGGATTCCTCGGGAGAATACTTTTGCATCAAGCCCGGGATCGTCAAGGCTACTTTGCTCTCATGCTCTTGGGGAGTGTTTTAGGGCCAACGTTCGTCTCGGGCGCCATGTCGATGGTGTTGCCGCATCTATTTGCCATTCATGGGCAAGGACATGGTTCACGGCAGTCCATTGTTGCCACAGTCTTTCTATGGGCATTGTTCATAGTGAGCTTCATACTCGATGTCGTTGGCATTGTGTTCGTGGCCTACGGATACGGAGACGTGAGTAGCAAGCCCTCTTCTTCCGACCAGGCTGTTTACTGACATTGTAAACAGCGTGATCGAAGTGCCGACATAGTTGTTGGGGGTCTTGGGGCCCAAGCTCTTTTGCTGCTTGCCGTCATGGGCGCGTACGTCTGTTTCAGTACCGGCTTGTGCCTCAGTGGTGACGCCCTCGATCCGGCTCACGCAGACATCTACCATTCTACTCGATTTTCCAGGTTTCTCCGCTGTAAGTTTCCTCCTCTTTAACAGCCCCGGCGTTTATTGACATGACATAGGCATGGAGGTTGCAGCCATTCTGCTTTTCGCACACACGGTATATCGGATCTTCGAGCTGATTGGGGGTTTGAGCGGCACTCTCTTTCAGAGCGAGGCCGCTTTCATGGTCATGGACGGATTGGTCCCATTCTTCGCCTGTCTGCTGTTGACGACTGCACAGCCAGGCGCTGCTTTCGGGCCGTCGTGGGCCTCAACATCTCCTAGACACCTAAAGCGCCGAGGTCTCTCTCTACCACCTCTACAAACGTCATTCGGCGTTGGTCATGCCGTTCATCACCGCTACGATCCCAACATCCGGCAGCAGTTTTCACCTTCCACGCAAAGGCCGTTGCGAGAGGCTAAACCCCCACCCACATACGGCTCCTACGGCTTACCGTCATCTCCAAGGCCAGTCAACAGGCCGCAGAGCCCGATGATCCTGTCACCCATATCGGTCCGAGCTGTGAGTATAGGGAGACTAAGTGACCGAACGGAGGGATGGACAGCTCAGGCAGACTTGGTAGACAGGGACGTGCTATGGTAGTAAGGCTGCGAAGAGTAGTATTACAGCGTCCCCCCATTAGACAATAAACGAGCTGCAGGTTGCCCAAGCAAGCAGGCAGCAACAAGAAGGATACCTTGGAAGCAAAGTTTTCTCATGCATGGTGACAGACGAGCTACATGTTCGTCAAGCATGGTATATGTCGGACATGATCCTTGCTGTAAGCGACTGTAGACGCCGTGGATACGGAGGACGAGGGAATGCTCAGCCGCTATTGGACCCCTTTACGCATCGCAGCCCTGTAGCACGAAGGCGCGTCTAGTTCGCTTATTGCCGCAGCACAAGTTCTCTCTCAACCGCAGGGGTGAAATCCCACGGCATTCTACTAGAAGCCGCGTCTCCGGAGCTGCGTTTCTCGCGGATAATTGTCTCCGCTTCCCGCGGCGGGAAATGCGTTTCCCAGGCTCCTTGTAATACATCGTCTCCACATATGCGCGGTTTTTTGTTTGTTCTCTGCGTCTCTTACGATATTCGTCTGGTTCTCCTGCTTGAAAGGGCGGCGCGCATGCTGCGTGTGGGCGGCTGTGATGTGATGGGATGTGCATCCTGTCACGGCGCGGCTGTGGTGGTGATTCGTTGATTAACCGGCGCTTACTAGGACGAACAACGTACAGGGGGGGTCCCCCCTGTAGAGCAAAACGGGGGGGGGGGGGGGGGGGGGGGGGGGGGGAGAGAGAGAGAGATGAGAGAGTTTGCGGGAGGATGAGACGCGGGTTTGCGGATAAAAGACGAAGATGATGGGAGTGACGGGGGCTGGAGTTATACGAGCGGCTAATATCAGTTTGATGGATTGTTGCGGTTGTGGAGGAGGTTTGTTTGTGAGATGATTTCGTGAGGGCTGACTGGGGTGGACCAACGTGTGGTGGGAGGAGGAAACGCTTCTAGGGTCTGTTAGCATCGGCTCATGGTTTGGCGTGCCAGCAAGTCACTGAAGGAAGTCTCGGATCTTGTATTCTGCTCAATGGCGAGGCGGTGGAGTTATATGCGAGGTATGCGGTTGGGAAGCCCGGGCGGAGTCGAGACAGGCTTGCCCATTTCTTGTACCTCATTGAGGACGATCCCGCTTAGAGCATTTAGGTGTAATACGAGACTTCAGCACGAGTATAAAGGCTGCCTTTTGGACTTATACAACGGTATAGTCGAAGTGAGTCGTATGACTGAGATAGGCGGCGTGGATGTTGCAAGACTTTTTCCTCCTCTTTGAAGGCATTCCCCATAGGCATGACTGGTACCTTTCGGGAGTTTAGAAGATGGTGCATCACGTATTACAAGGATCAGTACAGTGCTCAAGACCGTGAGCGCGCAGTTTAGCAGATCCCAATGATATTAGAGTATACAGATGCTAAGGAATCTCGCAACGCCACAACTGCAACATCGCATTGCTAACCTCCTAGGCCTTAGTCAACCACTATAACCAGGAGTCTTGGATGGGATTAGAAGCGGTTAATCTGGACTCAAATGACTAATTGCCACTCGACTTTGATTTTCACCAGCCTAGCTAAGGGGAAGTTCTCAACATCATACCAAGCTTGCTAGAAGCAAAGTGTATCTCCAGTTACCCCCGGACTCGGTTGCTTCGCAGCGTTGCTTGAGGTCAATAGTTAAGTAGACATCAACCTAATAGTCCCCTGTCTCGCTCTTGACGAATCGCCAAATGGTCCCAGCATGCTGTCTCCTTACAAAAGTTCCATCAGAGGAAACGAATGCGAAATGCTTCATAATGTTACCAGCAGGTGACAACAACTGATATCCTCCCTTGGGGTGCCTCCTCGGTACAATGTACTGGTCAGGCCCGAAAGTAGACGGCATGCCTTTCTCTCGTGTATAAGCGCTCAAGTACACATTGCCGTGCTGATTGAAGAGTCCGAAACAGCCGTTGGCCTCGACGCAGAGCCAATTCGCCGCTGGTGTACGAGGTAGGTTGGGATCAAGCAAGCGAACTCTTGGACCAAAAAGGTGGTGTACATATGCGTCAAGAACCCGCCCGGTGCTTTCTTCTATGATGTTGTACGTGTTGTCGGGCCAAGGAACGGCATCGGATGGGTCGTCGTGGAGACCAAAGGCGACCAGGTCACTAGACGATGGAGTGACGACAGAAGGGGTCGCCGACGAATTTTTTCTCGTAGAGTAGCTCATGATGGATGATGAAGAAAGTAAAAGGGCTGTTGATGTTCTAGGCAGAACTACAAGGCAGCAGCGGCACTCACTTAAGGTGTAAAGACAGTGAATCAAGCTTGAATGATGATGATGAGAGAGTGGTCGAGCTGCGTTGGGCAGCAATGAAGGTGAGGGGTTCTTTTATACAAGTATACTTTGCCCTGACCATATTCGTGCTGTTACGTCAACCTCGCTTGCTGAGGGAGCGAAACACCATCAAGCGCTTATCGCAGAGGTACTGAGCCAATAATGTCCGTTGAATCTGATCAAGTAGTTTCGCAGAGACCTTTCCCAAGGCCTTCTTTACTGGATGACACTTTTAATAGAAAATCTTGGTTAGGCTGATGACTATAAGGCAAAGCGTATACTACAAGGAACACAACAGGTCTCATTGAACGAAACTGGCTTTCTGGAAATATCTGAAGAAGATTTAGAAACATGCAGTGCCTAGAGGGTTCATAAGGCCTGCTCTATGCATCGAGAAGTTTCATCTCATGTCGCTCACGTGGGAGTACCTAGTGAAGGAGAACCCCCATCTCTCCTAAATGCCATTGTCAATGGGCCAAAGTCTTGTTGTATGGTAGTGGACTTTGAGTAGCGGGGGCGTCTGGTGAGCCTGACTCAAAGTGCTGACGCCTCACCTTCTTAGACCGATGACGCTGTGGCCCTGGAGTTTAGATGACGGCTCGGATGGGGCCGAAAAGCACCGGTCCAGATACCCGGGCCTAACCAAATCTTGAATAAGTGATAATATCGCATTTACAACGACTTGGTATCAGCATGTTTTGAATCGAAGATTGTCTGAACTTGATGGCCAGATTTAACGATGGCGATATATCTGCAACTTCTGGACTTGGGCCGGGCTGTTTCTCAGGCAGACAGAACTTCGCATTCGCCCCAAGCATTCACGCAACACAAATGTGCACTCACAGACACGTCAGCAATGCATGGTGCATATCCTGGAGACTTTCATAACATGCTGCAACTCCGCACTCCAAATAAATGTGTTGAAAGGCATTGTGCTCGCGTTCATCTTTGCGGGGGACCCTGTCTGTCAGATAGGCAGCCATTGGCCGAAGCTGCATGCGTGCAGCATGAGGGAAGCGAGAATATCAAGAGACCATCGCGTAGCGATCTAAAGATGATCGTGCAACAACAAGTTGTTCCCTCTGTTCGGTCAATATGCCTACATCAAGAAAGAGGCCGGCGAAGCTGCGGGATGGCAGCTCGTCGCAGTCTGATTCTCTCCATGTAACTGAAACCCGTCCGCCGGATGCGGATCCAGAGCAAAGTGCGGCTGCAGAAACCGAGATTCACGCTCAAGATGTCGAGGAGTCGACCCAGCTCGCTACAGCCGTGCTCATTCAGGCTTTGGCAGAAGAACTGCCCAAGGCAGCATCAGCTCGACCTGACGATGGTTCCGGAGAACCGACCGAGTTGAATACGAATAGCCCCAAACAAGCCGTCGAAGAATCAACCCAGCTGGCTTCAACCCTACCGCAGGGCAGTCTTAAAGGATCAGCCCAGCTAGCTCCAAGTCAACCGCAGGAGAGCCTCGAGGACTCGACTCAGCAGCCTACCAATTCCGCGTTGCGATTTCTCGCATCTGCCGAAACGCTGGATGAAAGATGCCCTACGAAGACCGAGCAGCCGCAGGCCAAGAAGAGCGATGCCCGGGATTCGGACAAAGTGACACGGCAACTCCTCGACAATGCCGCGCTCTCTTTGCCAGATGCGCGTCTTATCATCGCCTATACGCGCTATTCTATTCCAGAGGATGAGGAAAAGGACTCGGCGATGATTTGTCTGCAGACGATTCCCGGCCGCGGCGACATGTTTGGCGTTGTCCAGACCTCCGCGAGCGCTGACTTTACAATCAGCTTCCCATATTGCCGCCGCCCAGCTGATGAGCGCTCAGAGGGCTCTGAACAATGTCGACTTGATTGCAGGATCCTGTATGACCCAATGAGTGACAACTGTCTGCTGATTAACAAGGCAGATAAAGCCATATACTTGGTGGACCTCAATTTCCAGGCTGTGAAAACATGTCTCAAAGAGAAAGAGGGTCGTGTCATTCGTCCTGGCATATGGACAATCTCAGTGGATTCTGGCGAAAGAGATCGTTTCACCGAGGACCGACTTGTTGAGTTTTTGCTTCTCCGGAGGCGTTTCAGTGTCTCGATTCATGGGGTCATTCAGCAAGAAGCTGGTGATGGGAGTGATGACGATGGGAGAGGAGCCAAGCGACAAAAGCTGGATGACGGCAAGATGAACAGTCGAATGGTCGAGGTCCCCGACTCGTCTTCGAAGCAAAAGGAGCACCTATCCGTTTCTGATAGTCGCCAGCTACTTCCCGCTCCTCGAGAGATTGTCAATGCAGATGTCGTTCCCCTTTTAGACCTAGCAGACGGGGAGACGGCTCTTGTACAAGCCCCAGAAGTCAATCTCACTGATGCGATGGGCACATATCACTTGAAGCGGATCCAGGAAATATCTGATAAGCGAGCTGCCGGCGTCTTTTCCTGCCAACGCTCTGGAGTCTCCGAGATATTGGTTGCAAAGGTCGTCTGCTGCCCGAAGCATCAGACGATGTCGGGCCTCGTAAGAGTCATAGAGATGTGGATGCAGGAGAAGACAATGCTGCAAGGCCTAGAACATGTAAGCCGTCTACTTCGTATGTGGATCTCTCACTGACCCTGTCTAGAGAAACATCGTGTCACTTAAGGGTGTCGATGCTCGGTTCCTCGCCATTTACCTTGAGTGTCTCCCGTCCTCGCTTCAAAAGGGGTTTCAGTCATCGTCGATGAGACCATCCGAGGCCAAAAGGATACTCTGCAATGTGTCGTCCGCCCTTGCCTACCTGTCCAGACGTGGAATTGTTCACCACGATATCAAACCGGCCAACATCACATACTCCGCCGAGCGAGGTGCTGTGCTGATCGACTTTGGTATGGCTGCGTCGGTCACCGACTCTCGGAAAATGGGCGGGACCCCTCATTTTGTTCCTCCGGAGTACGTGGATGCAAGAGTTGGAAGCCGTGGCCCTCCTGGAGATGTATGGGCACTTGGTGTCACGATGCTCTGTGTATTGCGGAAACTTGCCGCAAGCGTTTTCAAGAGAGACATTGATATGGGCCAGCTGCGCCATGAGGGGAGCCGATCGCGAGCCGCGTTCGAGGATTTGCTGCAGGATATCGCGAGCGCAAGGAAACAGCTGGATCTTGAGGACGTGGTTGAGAAGACCATTTTTCAGATGCTCGATCCTGATCAGGAGAAAAGAGTCTCGGCTGCGGATATAGAATTGGCGTTGGGCAGGAGCCGTGCTTCGACTGAGGGCAACATATGAGACAGGCGGGAATGGTCAGACACTGTAGTTGTAGAAATGTGGTAGTTAGTTATCCAACTACCTAGGTATCCCTAGGATCACGGTCCTCATCTCCAGGTCCCTTCCATTACACGATGCTCACTCATTTCCAGTCGAGCTTTTTTTCTCTTCCTTCCGGAACAACAGACGGGATCCCCAATGCTAGCCCAGTGCTTCCATGTTGCTTTGGACTGTGGATACGCTGATATGTAGCTACGCTTACTCCTATGTCCATAGTCTTCGTGCGTTGCTTGGAAGTTGTGGTGAAGCCTCGCGTAGAGGGAATGACAATAGAATTCTACCTAGGTAGCTAGGCACTACCTTGGACTCTAGGTAGGTAGACTAGAAGGCACAAGCTTCATGCTAGGTAGCAGGTACATATGTACCTTATGTGTTATTGACCTCAGGTTCGGCCACAGGCACAATTTCTAGAAGGATTGGCTGCTGGAAGATTCCCCATTGAATAAGAAATAGATAAGGTCAACTTAAGCGTTGGACTAGCAGCGGTCGAGGAGGCTTGGGCCGAGCCTTAGCTGTCTTAGTACATGTACCTATACCTATGGACCTCCTTGGCCACATTTTCGGTCTAAGCCCATCTCGCAAACCGCATTTCCGCCTACCGGTGTCTAGCACAGTCTACCTACCTACTTCAGACAACAATATAGTCAAATCGTTGTCTCTTTGTGCATATTTGCAGAACCTGCCTCCCACCAAGGCCAGCAGGGAGATGTGTGTGGGCGGAGGTGGCCGCAAACCAATGCATGTCTCGCACGTGACGCTCTGCCTAAAATGAAGCACCCGAGCACACGCGATTTCCCCTCCACTGACAGTACATAGGTACCTTAACTTACCTACCTACATGTATGTACCTTAGGCGGATATAATGTTCTAAATTATCGTTCACCACGCAACCCAAGTGCGCACCTCTTTGGCCTCATTCTCCACGTTCCACGTCTTGACTCGCTTGGTGGTGACATTTACATCTTCCAGACTCTTGTGCGCCTCGTTAGAAGCCTCATACTAGCGCCTGTATCCTGCTGAAGCCACACAGCGCGCAAGTCGCAGCGCGTCATTCGCCCATTGCCTTCACGATCCGATCGCGACCGCAAATCGACCGTTATAGCGTCCAATATGCCTATATGGACGCGTGGAAACTACGTGCCCGAAACCAGACCGTTCGAGCCTCCCTACTTTTTCCGCATCAGTCAGTGCCACAAATGGGGCAAGGTTACCGACGAGATGCGCGGCGACGAGCTTCTCTGGAGGACGTACTGGAAGCGCTTCAATACCGTGGAGATTCCCATATTGCCACAGGATGAATTCTTCGACACCGCACTATCAATTGCCGAGCTTGCAGGCGGCCGTCGGGAAGACTTTGAGAGGCTATTCGAAGAAAAGAACAAACAAAGGTGGGGGGAGGTCAAGAGACTGCTGGGCAAGACCCAGTATCACGCTGAACGTCATAAAGATGCATTTCCATGTGAAGATGCTCGGCAAAAGATGATACGAGTCTGTCAAACTGGCTGTTTAACACACTTCTTAGACATTCTCAAAGGCAATGCCTACGGATATGAGGCGGATGTTATATGCGATGGATCCCGGGACAATGCGCTCAACAGCCCTGACGAGCAGACGCAGGTCCCTGATGACGAGTATTTCGACAAGGACGGCATGCCACGGTCGCAGAGGTTCAACTATGACCCCGACATCTGTTTCTATGAGGAGCCCTCGACCCAGGACTGGAGAGAACACCTCATGGCGGATAATGTTTTCTACATAGGCTCGTACACCGTCGAGTATGCGCCCCCCGAGTCGAACGATGGCAGCAGAGGAGCTCCGAATCCTGAGATCGGGGAGAACCCCTCCAGGTCGCCGCTTCGGTCACACAACCCATCTACTCCGGAAACCCGACATGAAGAAAAGACGACACAAACAACGACGCAGAAGAAGCGGAAGCGGTTAGTGCTTCGTCTCCCGATCTCCCGCCCAGTAGCTGATGGGAAATGCTAAAGCCCCGCTAGAAAGAGTGTTCGCTTTGATGATGTCGAGATCGACAAACTTCAGCACCAACAGCAACTGGGCACCGACGACGAACACGATGATGATGATCGTGCGGGCAAGCGCGCCAGACTGGATGTTTCATCACCACCCGCCTCATCCCTTGCCCGGCCGGCTGCGGATGACAGTGTATCAAGAAAGAGAAGAAGAGACGATGATGATCATGATGTTAGCCAAAAGCGTCAAAAGATTGAGACTCCTACTGGGCCTGTACCAGCACCTCGTGTATCCTCCCCTAATCAGACATCTACAGCCCAAAGGGGACCCAGGAGAAAACCGCGATACAACAAACGCTACGACCACGGGCGCACACACCAAGGCCTAGAAGATCCTCTTCCCTGCCCACCGACACCATCCGCTTCTTCCACAACAGCTACAGACTCGTCAGCATCTCGAAAGAGGTCAAGACAGGACGACGATCACGACAATGGCTTCAAACGACAAAAGATAGAAGATTCCACTGGCCAGACGCTGCCATCTCTCAGCTCATCTTCTACACAGCAGACTGCGGACAAAAGATTGGACGACAAGAAAGAAGAAGCTCACGAGGGTAGAAAACGGAGAGTCTCAAGTACACGTCAGTCACGCAACAGTCCTACTCCGGCCGCGCGACCTCTCAATACTAGGTCTAGAAGGAGGAGCGGGCCATCTTGCCTCATGGAACTGGACCAATCTGGCAAGGCTCGGTCAGTGTGACATTACTTATTGTCATTATACAGCTCGAAAGGTGCAGAAGAAGGGTCCTGAATTCTGTGACCGTCGATGTCTCCGAGAGCATGGTCGTTATCCTGGCAGGGCCGGGTGCAGCGGCGCAGTTCGAACGAGGCACTGATCGGAACCCTGTGGTTGAACGTTTTTTGACAATCATGGTCGCTATCCCGGCAGGGCCGGGTGCAGCGGCGTAGATTGTCGGAATGCAACTGCCGGAGTGTGGGTGAGTCGAGTCCTTTCTCGAAGTCATGGTCGTTATCCTGGCAGGGCCGGGTGCAGCGGCGTAGATCAGAAAGAGGTCTTGACTGTGGCTCCTATGCCACCAAAGTACTTCCGAGGCATGGTCGTTATCCCGGCAGGGCTGGGTGCAACGGCGAAGCTGGAATGGAAGAATTGAGCACCCTCTGGCCTTGCGACGGTCACAGCAGTCAAGGGCCCCTTTTCATCATCCTGATAGCGGTGACGATGAGTTGGGATGTTCTTTGCTGGTCTGTATCTCTCAAATCGTTGTTCGAAGCTTAGGCGGGCTGCATTGACGTGAAAGATGTGAACCACTTTATGAACAAACCATGAAGGGTCTACCCTGCATCAAGCCGTTGCTGATGAAGTTCTCCTCGTATCATGCTTTGACTAAACGGCAATGTTGTAGACTCTCCATGAGAAAAGTCTTACATTGCTTTCTCTTTCGTGTCTTTCCTCCTGAGGGAAACTTGATCTCAGGAAGCCATGTAAAGCAGGCATCACCTCCATGCTGACATTCCCGAATACTGATATACTCTGCTCTAGCACATCGTAGGCGTGACTATGAAGCCATTTGTTACATAAGGTGCTGCCACCCTACATTGACACCCATGGAAGCCAAACGGAAGAAATTGCCAAGTAAAAGCGGTAATCTTTTGTGAGCTTGAACAGGTGTTCACGAATTGTCGTTTAAGTGGCTTCTCGGAAAGTAAAGTTTAGCTGCTCTATATGATTTGAGGGTAGTCCGACATTGGCCCGGGATTGTGCTCCTGGCGATTATAACTTTACTGCGACCCTACATGTAAGCCCTTGGTATGCGTCTAATGCTATTACATAAAAGCTGCATTTTATGCGAAGTATCATGGAATGCCTGATCTACTTCTTTCTTCGCCCTGATTATCCTCTTCTTCTTCTCTTCCTATTCTATTAAATCTATTTTCTACGTCTTGAGGCATGCGCACAGTTTGGGATGAGTTTTGTCTGTAAAAGGGTTAAACCAAGGCTTAGCTGATCGCTACATCAATCAATACACCAAAATCTTATTAAACCTTTTCTTCTTCTCCTCCAAAAGGACTCGCTTAACCAGCTAGTGATGCACATCTCCCCGGCGGTTAGTAGGCGATGCAGTAATAGACGTTTATACATCTCTAATCTAGATGTATTTGAGCCCTCCTTGCTGATATAGAGATTCCGTTGTCGATTAGAGAACAAGAGACATTATCGCTTAGACTCGTCATGATTGCCATATGGCTAGTGATTGGGACAAACTACCAATAGGAGATGTCGTAGCAAACGGCTTCAAGTCAAACCGGAAGGAATCTTTATTAGCTGAAAGAGAAATGAGGTAGGAATATGGCATTGGAAGAAGATACACGCATCATTTCGGCATATTTCTTATGCAGTAGGTAGTGGTTAATTCTATTAATTCCATGAGAATCTACGCCACGCCGGAGTTGGAGGGCCATGCATTCCTTCATATCGGCGTGCACATAATCCGACGTGAAATTCTTTCTGTGTTACAGCAGCCTGGCATATTCATGCAGTGCAGCTTGCCACTTGATAAAGGACGAATGCATATATGACTACCATACGTGTATTCGCCACTTTGATTCTATCATCTGAAATGCATCGCGGTTGCGGCTGGAGTGGGAGACTCGAAGGAGAGGCTCCAGGATCTCCCAATATCTACATGTTTAGGCAGGGATGCCATCATTGTCAGGTTATCATCTCGGAGCAAGGCGGATTGTCCCCGTCTCTTTCGCTGACATGGGACCCCTGCAATGCCGCTAGGACAGCAAAAGTTAATCGGGGAACATCTTAGATCCTCAGCGAAACAATATGGACTAATTAGCATGGATGGATGTGTGTACGCAGTAGTACGTGTAGTATCTCATAGTACCTAGGTATGCAGTGCTTCTTGTTGAAGATGATGTTCATGAACATTAAGCTACCTACTGTAGGTACGAGTACTAGGTATTTCAGTTGACTCAAGGCGTATTGAGTTAGCGAGGGAAAGAGAGCTGTGGAAAAGTGCCAATTGCTTATCACAAACAGCAAGGTATTTCATGCCCAGCAAAGCGGCAGGTGCGAGTTGGCCACCTCACCTCTGCAGTAATCCTCGCTTATAAAGCCGCATAGAGACAGCCGTAAGCCTGAATGGACCAGAAACAGAAGAGAAAAAGCAGATAATAGAGCCAGGCAAGTGCGACAGAGAGCCAATGAGCGAGCGGCCACTGCTGAAAGTCCGCGGCTGATCTGCCAGGCAAGTCCGATTTACGAGCCACTCCTGCCGTCGCGCTCCGACCAGGAACAGGCAAGAAGGGATCGGAGTTGGATGACCGCCCCACTTTGGATCTCAGTAGATGAGACTACAGGGCTTTTTTTGTCAGCCGTGCGTTAGTCATCGCCAGATCGGCCGGCTTACAAGGCAGGCCGGCAAAGGAGATGAGATTGAGCTGGGATGACCTCCGCGATGGCACCAAGCATGTACGAGGACGAAGTACCCTCGCAAACGAAGCATACGCACGAGGTACTATCCTAGCCTTGTCCTGGCCCGGACAGCGCGCACGGGGACGAAGCAGCTCGGCAGGCAGCCTTACGGCCATGTCCCCCGGCATGGATCGGAGTTGGTCCTGGTCGCTGGAGGCGTCGCTTCTGCCAGACGCTTCCTGCGTGAGATGCCCGAGATGGACCCCGGATTGCTTTTCCTATTAGAAGCCTCGACTCTTCCCGTCGACGGCTTCAGACTGTCTACTACGGATCAGGTCAGGCTCAATCACAGCATCTTCATACACAAGTACGCCTTGTGCTGTCTGCTCTTGACACTGTCGTGGTGCCAGATAGCCACAGGGTCTCGCAGTTTGCCCGTCAACCCCCCCCCTTGCAAACGCCCCAACAGCTGCCCAGCATGACGGAAAAGCAGGAGGACTCCCAGCTCCACGAGCTGAGTAGTCCCTCTGATGACACGGCTTCCTCACGCCCAGAGTCGATCGAGGCGGAGGCCCTCGAGTCGATCCGCATTCTCCTCAACAGCCAAGCGCCCAAGGGCCAGGAGACCCCCAAGCAGATCGGCCTCTCGTTCAAGGATCTCACCGTGACGGCCCAAGCCGGAACCGAAGTTGACGCAAAGACCTTGCCGCGCGCCATCCTCAACACATTCGGACCCGACCAATGGCGCTTCGTCAAGCAAAACATCCTCTCGCGCATCTTCCCCAATTCCTTCAGTGCCTCTGGAAGACCCATTCTTTCCAACTTCACCGGTATTGTCAAGCCCGGTGAGATGCTGCTCGTCCTTGGTCGACCGGGAAGTGGTTGCTCGACTTTCCTTCGAACGGTTGCCAACCAGTCCACCCTCGCTGTGACGGGTGACTTGGAATATGCCAATGTCCCTGCCGCAGACTTCAAGCGCAACCATGCCAGAGAAACAATCTACCTCCCGGAAGAGGACAGGCACATCGCTTCCCTGTCTGTGAGGCAGACCATCCGCTTCGCGCTTCGGAACTCGCTCCCGGCCGAGGCTCGAGACAGCAAGACAGTCGCCGACTTGACCGAGGCTATTGCGAAGCTCTTTGGTCTTTCTCATGCACTTGACACGCCCGTTGGTGGAGCTTTCTTCCCGGGTGTTTCTGGTGGTGAAAGGAAACGGTTAGTCCTACAACGATATCTTGAGAGGATTCCAGCGCTAACACTGAGATAATACAGAGTATCGATTGCCGAAGTTCTTGCTGCCGGTGCATCTGTTCAATGCTTTGACAACTCGACTCGCGGTCTTGACTCCTCCACCGCACTGGACTTTGCCAAGGCTCTGCGAGCTGTCACAGATGTCGGTCACAAGACTAGCATGGCCACCCTGTACCAGGCAGGCGAGGATCTCTACAGGAACTTCGACAAGGTCATCGTCCTGGATGACGGACAGATGGCATTCTTCGGTAGAACATCCGAGGCCTGGAAGTACTTTGAGGACCTCGGATTCATCCCCGTTCCTGGACAGACAACTGCCGAGTTCCTCACCACCGCTACGGATCCCGTAGAGCGACGTGTGCGCCCTGGATCTGCGGCCGCAAACTTCAAGACGCCGGCTGATCTGGCGGCTGCTTTCCGACGATCGGACAACTACCAGCGGCTCTTGACTGAAATTGATGAATACCGACAAAAGCAAGCTCAGGCTGATGCGCTGCTCCCCACTTACAACTACCGCCTGTCGTTCCCCGCCCAGGTTTGGGAGTGCCTTTACCGAGAAGTCCAGCTGGTCAGCGCTCAGCGACGAGTCTACTACATCAAGTGGATGACTACTCTCATTCTGTGTCTGGTCTGTGGCAGTGTTTACTTCGACATTGACATCACCGCTCAAGGAGCCTTCACAAGGGGTGGTATCCTGTACTTTGCTCTCATCGTCAACGGCTGGTTCCAGTTTCCGGAGCTGTTCGATGCACACACCAATCGACCTGTCATTGAACGACATGGTGAGCATTGCCCTGGAGCTACACATTTTGTCAACTCTACTAACTGGAATGTTTAGCTGGACTGCATCTCAACCGCCCGTCCGCTGTTGCATTGGCCCGGTTCCTCATCGACTTGCCTCTCATTGCCGCTCAGCACGCTCTCTTCATCATCATCTTCTACTTCCTGTCACGGCTACAGATTGAAGCAGGGAAATTCTTCTTCTTCTACCTCACGCTCTTCATCTCGACGGTGTGCTTTAGCAATCTGTTGCGCATGTTCGCCTACTACGTCGGAACCTTGGATGACTGTAAGATTCAGTTGCACTCCGTTGGATCAGTTCACGCATTAACGC